GACGCTACCCATAGACAGCTTGTCAGAACACCAACACTGCCTGAATGGTCCTGTGCATCAGCTGTCAGTTTTGACGCTAGCATACTTGTATTTGGTAGTGCTAGTCAATATGTACAGAATGTGCAGAGGTTTGTTTTTTTTATTTCTGCATAATTAAACAATAATAATAATAATAGTGTATAGAAAAGGTAATTCAGAGAGGTTTGATGTGAAATGCGCCGTTGTAAAGAACTTAGAGTCAGAATTGTTCCCAACAGTAGTGATAGAACCCAGACGACTGAAGTGTTTAATGGTTCTAAAAGTTAATACATTGAATGGTTGTGAATGTGCTGTCTGATGCCCTTTGGATAGTAAATGAAATATCAACACGACTATAAAAAAAATAAGACTTGATCAGTTTCTCTACAGTGCACCATTTCACATCAAAACTCTGTATGACTTTGTTTACATCTTAACAATTGAAATATACAGACATTTTTAAAAAATTGGTGGAATTCTTCTCACCAGGCTTTTTTTTTTTTCAAGAAAGCAATATAACGTGACAATCTTTGTGACAGTGCTACTTTGGGCGTTCAAAATGTGTGTTTAACAATAGCGCAGTATCTATTTATGCCTGAATTCAAAAGTAGCATCAAGAAAAATCTAGTTTCAAAAGAAGGCAAGGCCAAACTTTGGACAGCCAGTGTGTGTGTGTGTGTGTGTGTGTGTGTGTGTGTGTGTGTGTGTGTGTTTGTAGAGCGTAGAGCAGCAAGGCAGCTTGTCTGCTTCTGTTCCACCCTGGGTGAGGACAGTGGGGAAGCTTGACTCAGTGCCCACAGAAACTGTTGCTCATGGCCTCCCAGCATCACGTTATGCCCTAAGGGCAGGGGGGCATAGCCTTGGCCTGCTCTGCGTTTCCTTTCCAAATGACCACTTTGCATAGCTTTCCACAGAACTGCGCATAATGGCCTTTGATATCAGTCCTGTTGTTATTATCAGGGTTGTGTTATGGTAAAGGGAAAAGGAAAGATAAGTATTTGAACAAGCAGCACTGATTATTCATTTAGTTACACAATAACTCAAAGAAAAGTCTTTTCCTTACAGTTTTAGAGCAAATCAGCCATGGATTGGATATGCAGGAGAAAAAGGTGAAGGAAAAAATGTGATTCTTCCACAAGGCAGTGAGCATTAGAAGAGGCCTCAGTGAGATGTTTCCACAGGAATAATATGAAGTACGGATAGGAAATACTCAGGGTCTGTTTTACTGGTTCAGTGGAGAGAAGAGGTGACTCAAACTCGCCAAAGTAGAAAAGCACTGTAACAGAGCTTATTTAGGTCACACTAGAACATAGAAAACAAACATATAAGGCTGTTAAATGTCAGTCTGAGCTAGATGATCACAGGAACCCCACATCACACCAGGTTTTTTTGCAATTGTTGAAATGCAAAAAGAACACAATCTGCTCTGACATTTGTGTGTGGGCGGGTGTACAGCAGGGCTCTATATCAGGGCCCTTGCTGTTGTAGTGCCCCAGGACTCTGATGAGGTAATGCACCGTGGCAGTGGAGCAGCAGCAGCAATTGTGCAGCTGGAAAACAGCTTCATTATACTAGCACGCTGAGCAGAGGCAGAGCTCCATGCTAAATGCTGGCGTTAAGGAAGTGCCGCCGTGGAAAGCAGCAGCAGGAGGAGGGGAAAGTGACAGTGTAAATTCTCCTCCCTGCACTCACATCCTCCTCCTCTCCCTGCCTACTGGATTGCGAGTAGGGGATGTTTGGGTATTAACAAACATTTCATCTTTCAAGGAAGCCTCCACAAACCCTTTCATCTTTAACAACTCACTCATGGGCTGGCTATGGTGCTGCATTTAATATCATGATTTCTAACTTGTTAGGTTGCAGTCTTCATTGCAGTCTTCTGAGTTAAGACGTATTCAGGTGCAGCTTTGTAGGGCAGAGATGCAGATCTATAACCACATTTGAAGTTTCAGTTCTTGCTGCGCCATTTGAAGTCTTTGGCCCTTGGTCACTGGCGGCATTCTCATTTGGAGGCAAGGAGGACCAGGCCCCATCGCTCCACTGTTGCTATGCAACATTGCAGGTACTAGGGATGCATGACAGAGATGAGCAGTTGACTGTCTCCTCTGAATGTTTTGATCTGCTCAGCTGTGCTGCATTTCTGATAGTTTGCAAAGGTAAAATGGAAGGATTCGCCAAGTTTTGTGCTGGTGTTCACCCTCTAAGACTGTCAGCAGGCAAGACATAATAATATGAAAAATGTAGCATGAGAAAATTCTTTACAAAAGCTAAAACGTGCAAATATGAAGGCAGGTCTATTAACAAATACATTTTCATTCATACATTTTTCAGAAGAATGTTTCAGATATTGTCCATCAAACTGCATAACATGAGTAGTAATAGTCACTTAAACATACATGATTGAGTAACTGAGCACATTTAAATTTTGTTTTGATTTTTTAAATTGTACACTGTCAGACACTTCCTGTCCAGGTAAATATTGTAGACCCATGAGGTATAAACAATGTAAATGTAAACTCAAAGGTACAAAATGCTCCCTTTTGTGTACCTTAAATGAGTTTTCAACGTACATCATATTCAGTTTTAATATTCACAAAGTGGCATATTTATATCATAACCTCTCTAAGAAGAAAAATAAAATAAAAAGCCTGGAATCACAAAAGGGTGTATGGAGTCACTGCAACCCTTTTCACAGTAACCATAAAATGCAATGTTCACCTGTTATAGAGGTCCCCCAGTTGAATTATGCATTTTTCTTCAATAACGTTGATGAAATACATTTTGATGAAAATGTGTAAGATTTACTAAAACAAATGTAAACTGAATTTTTTATCTGTGTAGGTTAGCAAGCAAGTCAACATTTATAGAAATATTTTTATTCTGTTTAAATGCTATTTTTTTATTATGGCAGTTACACTCAATTTTCATGATATCAAGAAATCTGCAGTTTATAGTGGTCTGTTTTATCTTAGCATGGCTGTGTTTGGGGAGAGATGTGAATTGTTTTTACAGCGGGGGTTCTCACCCCTCCTTTCCCCCCTCATTGCTCGCAAGCAGGTTAACACAGTGTCACAACATTTCACATACAGAGAACTGACAGTGTCTTAGTTAACCTGACAAGAGTTACAGGAAAAAATATTGTATTTGATTGTATTAATTAATCAAAAAAGTTGATTTCCATTCCGATGGTGGAATGGCCATGATGGGGGCCATTGTTCCCTAATTAAAGGTACTAAAGATGTGTCCTTGATGGTACCACCTAGGTAACAATGTTTGTACCCTGAATGGTACAGTTTTTTTGAGAGTGTACAGTATATGCACTTATGCCATGGTATTTACTTCTTTTGGGCCTTCTCCCATGCCTCTGTGTTCTTTCTCTCTCCCTCTGCAGCAGTACTTCACTCTGCTCATCATTACCGATGGCGTGATCAGCGACATGGATGAGACACGCCACGCCATAGTGCAAGCTGCCAAACTGCCCATGTCCATCATCATTATTGGTGTGGGCAATGCCGACTTTGCGGCTATGGAGTTCCTGGACGGAGACAGTAGTGTGCTGCGTTCTTACACGGGAGAGGAAGCAGTCCGGGACATAGTGCAGTTTGTCCCATTCAGAGACTTCCGCAACGTGAGTACTTCTTCTTCTCCGTTTCACACGCTCATTCTCAATCTCTGTCCAAAATCTTCAAATCTCTGTCCCTTGCTCTCGCCCCGAAGCTCCTACTTGTACTTCACACGCTCTTACATCTCTAGTTCTGTTATGTAAGATCCCATTTAAGTAAACAGCTCTTTAAGGGCCTACATTATTATTCCAGAGTTAGGTTACAGGTTGCTGCTCTGAGGTATTACGCTGTCAATATTATGCTGTTTAATTTGACCTCAAGGTTTCAGCTTACTCATTTAATCAATACTGCTGGTGCTACCACGTAGCTTTGCGTAGTTGCTTGTTGTTCTGGATGGGCTCCAGTTCCGGAGCGCACACGTAAACAGAACTTTGCGTGGGTGTGGGAGTGGGTGTTCTGTGGGCCATGTGACTTCCTCAACAGCAGGAGAGAGCAGACAGCACTCCCTGCGGCACCATTTGCAGCAAATTGAAATTCATTTGAGTACGGCAGCACCGAGCGTCTTGGCCACTCCATTACCCTGTCAGCCTGCCTGACATGGCTCCAATTCCGTTTAGGTGACAGCAGCTTCAGTAATCTAATGAACAATTTCCAGTGCCCACCATGTTATCAGATGTGTGTTTGACTGCATTTTTTTTTGTGCATTTGCTGTTTTCACAGGCTCCGAAGGAAACTTTAGCCAAATCAGTGCTGGCCGAGCTGCCTCAACAGGTCACACAGTATTTCAAACAGAGGAACCTGTCGCCTAGCAACACACTGCCAGAGTGAAAGCTTGAGGCCTTGAGTTCACACTGCATGTTGCCAAAATCTACTGTTTACAAAAACCCTTGACCAATTTAAAGGACAAAGCGCATGTTTTTTTCTATAAATAATTGTTTTTAATAAATAAATGTTTTTATTTATTGGCTTACATATGCCACCTTATCAAGATGCAATGTAAGGTCGTTTTTTGTGTCAAACACTAACTGCTTCTGTAATATATATGAGGGAAGAGAACCTTTGACCGAATGTAACTTTATACTTCTGTTCTGTGTTTTAAGAGATGATATTAACAAGAGTTTTATGTACCTTTTTCTGTAGTGCTTTGTAATTTGTGTTAATTGTATAGTACCATGGTCATGGTGATGTTCTTGCTTTTATACAGTTTGGTCAGTCATTTACGTTACAGTACTCAGGTCAATAAATTTCAATTGAGGTGTTGCTGTTGGTGACGTGTATGACTTAAGCCACATCACCTGGAAGACAGTGATAATATGTTTAATGGAGTGTGCAGTGCATAAATCTGTTTTAGTTTCAGTTGATTCCCTAACACAGTTCACTGAAATGCAACTGAGCCTCAGAGGAAAAAAAAAAGCAGAATCACATGACAAATCAGTTTTTATTTTCTTTTCCGTTTCTCTTGTTCCATCCAGCTATTACAGATTCATATCCTTATAGGGAATAGTTCATAAAAATTCCAGCATTTTTAGCATTGCAGCATTTAAAATAAACAACAACCTTCTGAAAGTAAACCAAGACATTTTTTCCCACATCTTCCAACCAGCACTGCCCGGATCAGTCTGCTTTCTCATCTGATGGTATTAGAGATATCTCACTGATGTGACATTTAGCAGTCTTCTCCTTGATCCACAGACGTCTGTCACTGTCCCCTTGGCCAATAGCACTGCAGAAGCCGCAGGGATGGGTGGGGGGCATCGTCAGGTTTAGGCGCCAGAGGTTTAAACTGTATGGAATGTAATACGGGGAGCATGGGGAAGGGGGTCATGTTTCAATGCACAACACATCAATGACCACAATGGCAGTTACCATTCAAGAAGCCTTTAATTAGCATTAAGGCAGATATAGAAACAGACTTATTAAAAGAAAAACATACACAGCCAAAACAAACACTCCAAATTACGTAGTCTATAGCGTCATAAGACAGCGAGCAATAATAGTGATTCACACAGCTGAAAAGGCAAAGGGGGGCCTAAGCCTTGAGATCAGAGAGGTAATGAGGGAGAAGTGAGAGTGGGTGATTGTGTGGTTTGTCAGTGTGTCTATCTGAAGAGCCTGTGGCGCTTTATGGGAGAGTTGGTCCCGTCCACGCTACCTTCGCTGTCGCTGCTGGACTCTGAGTCGCTGCTGCCCGAGTAGGCCCCGAGCCCTGGCAGGATGCCCACACACACCGCTGCGGAGGGCAGATGCAGGACGCCCGTCCGAGCCACTCCTTCCCTGGGTACCGGCTTCTGCTCACCTGTTTCCTGTTCTAAACACACACATGCAAAGATGTGCTCAAAAACACAGAATGGAGGATCACTGAAGACTGATAACTGATATTACTGAATATTGAGAAATTAAACATTAAATACATATTATGCAGATGTTATGCAAATTGCTGTTCTTTTATTCTCCTTCATGTCTCGATTTTATTTGTTGTATTGCCTTTATTTCACTATTCTCCTTCTACAATCATTCTAATCCATGGTTAGAAGATGTGTACAATAAAAATAAATAAATAAACAAACAAACAAACAAACAAGATAAAATAAAACTACTCACATACATACTTAAAACACTAAAGATTATAATGCAGATTTTCAGTCAGTCAAAGAATGCTGAGGAATACGCGAATGAAACAAAGAAACTCCGGTACAATAGATCTACTTTCCGGTTCAGAGTTAAATGGACGAGCTTGTTCAGAAGAAGTGTGCCAACCGAACAAACATGAAAAAATCACTGCATGCTAACAGTGTTAATGCTGTCTACTGGGCAAGGCTCTGTAAAGCACCGAATCTGAATCACGAACTCATTTATCACTATAGTTCTGCAAACAAGTGTTTAAAACGATCTGTTAACAGATCGGTTGTCTAAATTTAAATCGACCAAGATAACATATATTCATCTTTAAAAATACAGAAAAGTACAGACAATATTCAGACTCTTTGAATATTCAGATGGCTGCTGAAGCTGTTTTAAACTATACAATGTACTTTTGTCCATGTTTATAGATAACAGTATGTTATGCAATGCCAAAAACGACACAACCAAGTCTTTTTTAGATTAGTTAACATCCCAACAGTTTTTGAGGAACTGTGATGATTCAGACTCACCGTGTGTACAGTGATAATTGGTGGGGTATTGGTTGGCCTCCATTGCTTATAGGAACATCAGATTGGTATCTCCAATGCAAAACTAAAAAAGCAACCTTGGAGCACCAGACATGTCTTGACTAATCAACTACATTTTCAAGGAACTGTGTAAATATAATTCTTCACCTACCAACCTTGGGAAAATATTTTGCATAGCAAAAAAAAGTGTAATGCTTTAAAACACAACAACAACAACAACAACAACAACAACCACACTGCTTATCACATAGCATTTTCCTCACTTGCCCCGCCATATCATCAAGTTTGGTTGTTTAACAGTGTCTGCCATTCTCTCTCTCCTCCCGTCAGTGTCCTCATCTGATGTCATATTTACTTTAACTGTGAGGCACATGCACACGCACACACACCTCCTCGTAACTTTGTAGGTCACGCTATTTCAGTGAGACGTACTCTCTTTTTTCATCCTGCCATGATCTGCTCATTATGGTTACTGCTTTAGCTGCAACAATAATCATAAATACAGCACTGCGGTCTTGTTTAACAACCTGTGACACGCGCACAATATAATTTAACAATACTTTGCCAACTTAAAAGCCTGTAAACAAGCTGCTTACATGCTAATTATGTAACGTTTAGTCTACATTATTAATGTTAAATATTCTCCCAATTTTGGCAGGTCTGCGTTAAATTAACTCAATTCACTATTTCAACTTTCCACATCGACCCCAGCCCGTTTACCTTTGCAAAAGAGTTAAAAGCACCAGAGGGAGAACAAGAGGGATAAAAAAAACATTTCGTGTTGCCGTCGATTTACAGTCCCTTGAAATGCTGGACATTATGCATTTTGCCATCCTTGCTATTTTTTTGCAGGAATGAACCCAGTGCTGTGATTAATCGATGCTGCTGCCTCTTGTTAGACTTGAGTACTGCACATGCACAATTGAACTCAAAGGTGTCACCAGCTTTTTGAGTAGTTTAGAGTGATAAATCATACCAGCATGCTTTGATGTCAAAATGCATACATGCTAGGCAAAATGCGCAAAGTTTGGCAGATCTGCTGTTGCTTTAAATCTGTGTGCAACACAAATACCCAACTAATCTCTTACGCACAGCTTTCTTGACATTCAGGTACAAACACAAAATTGATAGATCACCCGCTGAAATACTCTCCTGAATTTTAGCTTGTTAACATATTTTGTGTTATATGAAGTACGGCAGTCTGTTCACACTTTAGTCATAGGCTCCCTTAAGAGCCCAGCCCCCTGCCCACCTGTCTGACTGCCGTTCCCTGCTGCTGCCGGCGCCGTCTCCTCCACTTTCTGCTTCTTACTGCTCTCCGAGGACAGAGAGGAACTGCAGGCAGACAAAAGACAAAAATGCCTGTGAATGGATGCCTAAAACCCAGCTTTAAATTCCCACAAAAACTCAGTTGTCATAAACCTGCTGCAGTTCAACTATGGGTGTCTGCAGTGCTTCAGCTAAGAGGATGGCAGAATGAGAAGTAGTTCATGTGAGTCATGGGAAACAGAACAAAACGAATTAGCACCAAAGAAAGGTTAAATCTAAGTGGGTTTTATGGGAGTGTGCTGCGCTTTTCTATTTCGTTATCATATTTGAGCACAATGGCAGCATTTATCTGAAGCATGCAGTGCCGAGTGCAAAGGCAGAACTTGTTCCAGACTTTGTCATGCGTGTATAATGTAAACCCCTCTCCTCCCAGTTTCCCACCTATTCACCAGCCCTCACCTGCGCCGTTTGACTGCCCCAGCCAGTAGGTGCGCCTGTGACAGGTGGCTGGTTTTGTGCTCTGGGGGTTTGGGTCCTGCCCTTTTCTCCGACTCCTTCTTCTGACTCTCACCAGCAGCCAGCTTCTTCAGAGCACTGTGAGGACCAGCAGTTAAGGACACTTCTGCTGATAAGGACTACAGGTACACTCATATAGACATGCACGGTATTCTCTGAACACAAACCACCACTGGAAAGGGAACAAAATACACCAAACATACGTCAGGCCTTTTCTTCTAGCTAAACGAATAATGTTGGGGCAATTGCCAAGTATCAAGCACATCATAAAAGGCCAGAAGTAGGCACTGCAATCAAGCCTTCTGCTGGCATTGATCATTTCAACCAATTCATAGATTAAGGTACAGTCTCACAGAGCAGTGCTATCCCACACTAAACTGGAACAGTTTCAATTAAATGTTCCACCCCAAAGACACAAAAGCAACCAGTAACCGCTCAAGCGAACCTTCTACACCTTTCCTACCGCTCAAACCAAAGCTGCTTCTCCTCTGACCAACTTCCCTTGAAACGTCCTGAAACCGTGACACACTTAAATCTAAGAAAAACCTGCAGCCACTGGGGGCTAAGCCAGTTGAAATAGGCCATACTGCTACATTACACTGAGGAGCAGAACTTCACAGCTCTCAGCAGTGCCATTACACGCTGTTATCGTTCCCGCAAGCCCGCCGAAGGGTTCCGTTGCCACGACAACGCATCCTCCAACCTTCTATGCACAGGCATACCTGATTGGCAGCAGGGGAGAGTGTATTTCTGCTCTCCGAACAATCGTGTCACTCGTTTCATGATGGGAATGATGTCTACATAATGTGATTATGAGCAAGCACTATCTCAGTTTCTAACAAACCACAGCAGCTCCTAGTGCCAGCAAAATGAGGAAAGTGCAGTCAGCTTTGCATACATTAGTATGCACCAGTTTTGTGTTAAGTGTGTGTGATCTTCATGCAAAGGACAGACACACACTGCTGGTGCCTTATTTCAAAGTATTTTAAGTACTAATACAGATCAAACCCAGCAGCCCCCATACAATACGACAGCATCACAATATAATCCAGATATACCATCAACATAAGGGCTGGAGGTTGCAGCAGCATTTCTCATTATTCGGAGCAATATTTTTAAGCAGAGTTTTTTTTTTGAGGGGGGGTTACAATGTAGAAATTTGTGAAGCTTATGATATTTATTTCACTTGTTTTAAATGTAGCCTAGTTTGTTTCTGCCAAAACAAATAGGAAGTAAAGTGTACGTCCTGTCTTTAGCTGAAATGTCTATCTGTGAAATGTGACATGTTATCCATGGCTTCACACTCGCAAGAGAAGAGACTTCTACCTTAACCAAAAGACCAAAAACTTCCTACTCTGACAGGAAAGGGATGTTCGACTGACACGCAAATTAACCAACAACGGACTGCCGTTTTCATGTGATGTATAATAGCAGGTTGGAAACAAACTGGCAAATGATGGCCAATACGTGAAGATCTCACTACTCAGCTACTAAATGCTTCAAATAAATCTACTGAATAACTTAAAAGATATTATGTGATAAACTTCAATAACTTTTTCAATCCAGCTCTATAGTGTTACCAAAGGCTCAGTGAGAGCACACATAGCAGGAAATTGCTTGAAGACACAGTAGCATTTGCACAGACATGCAGATAGTCAATCAGAATGGAAGTGACAAAATCAGGATAGTTTTGAGCACTTTAGCTTAGCTACGAGATACTCCGGCTATGTGTGGCAGATTGGCTAAGACCGAGGCATCCCAGCACGTTGCATAGACGCCACACGCTTCATTTTGCAATTGCTTCACAGATGTACATTTGACTGATTGTGAGTTCCGACAAATACTGCAAGGACTGGTTGAATTTGCGTGAATTCTCATGATCGCAAGATCACAAATTCCGGGAGGGTCTGAGTAAGAAAAACACCCCCTGCTGTGCAGTCCTGTTGGAATTATTCTCTTGGCTTTCTCCAAACAAAGAGTCTACCATCAGATTAATGTTGTGAGTTTTTTCTCTGAAATATCATTTTGTTAAACATTTTATGATGTGACCTAAATAACTTCATTAATCTTTACAAATGTTTAAATAGTGGCCAAATACTTTTTGGAGCCTACACAAGCAAACATTTATATTACACAAGTGCTTTGGCTGTTACGCTGTTGACTAAACTCACCATTCTGTTCAATGAGCACATCATGCTCTTTCTATGGGATCTGACATACTTTTAAACTACACACAAATGAATGGGAACTGTCCACAGAACAATGTTAAGAACTGAGTGCATGGGGACCTAATTAAACCAAGCTTTCCTTTCCACATTAACCATTTCTGTATTATCATTCAACCATTTGCCAAGTCTCTGCTGCCTTCCCTTCAAACCATATTTGGCTCCTCTCGAGTATTAGTCCCACAATGGGCTGCCTCATTTAAGAATGTGAGCACTAACAAGGTGCAAGAGGCCTTCCTCTGACCTGCCGACCAGTGCGTCTGACAGCTGCATCTCCACCAACAGCTTAACGAAGACAAGAGAGCAAGCAGAGTCAGACAGAGAGCACCACTCCCTGGCAGTTCTTCAAAAGTTGCGCAATGGGTCGTGTAGTGTGTGTGCGTTTGAAAGTAAATGGATATCCTATATTCCTGGATCTCTTGTAGCTCTTCATCTCTCCTCTGTTTCTCAACAAGAGACTGTTGTCGTGACACTTCGTCCAGAAAGTTAGTATCGTCCTCGTCCAGACCTTTTACCATGTTCTCTGCGGAGAGAAACCAGAAGCACAATTGACTACTGGCGAAGTAATGAGTGACATGCTTCTCAGCCACTCACAATCATCTCTAAACATTCCTTTTTCCATCAAGCAAAGGAAACACTGTGACAATACTTTTCAAAACAAATCTGCAGCAAGAATGATGCTGGCATAAGTCAAAATTAGCACACTAAGAGGTGAAAGGGTTTTACTGAGGAACATATAATGCCTTACATACTCTCTCCTGATCATTTAGAGGGTGCTGTTTTTTGCTTCATTCCTGAAGCTGAAAAAGTTTTGGATTAATCTATGTGGAAGATCACACACAGATCAATGGCAAAACTACTATCAGGCAGACTTGTGTTGGCTCTAAGGTAAGATAAATGATTTTTTATCTGGGTTAAAGTATTTAATATTATGTCTAGTGTTACAGTAAAGTGTTTAAATCAGTTAGCTAACTAGTTAGCTTTTCTTGAGCGGCTGACAGTTAGCTTGATCATCAGTTAGACTGAACAGATTTAACATTACAGTGCTCATATTTATGATTAAAAATTGTAAAGATCAACATTAATGCACTCGTTCACATGCCCTTCTTTATACTGCTTCATTAATGTTTGTTAAAAGACGTCATGTAAAAGATGACCAGCTGTTGTGTTTTGGATGCTGGTATGCTGGTCAGCAGCAATATAAATTAATTTGCTGGTCACCAGCAAAACTAGCATATGTTGCTTTTTGGATGCTGGTATGCTGGGTGACTAGCACTAGCATAAACCAGTTTAGTCCCGTGATATTTTTTCAGCAGGGGAGTCCTCCTCAGCATCTAATACTGGGCCTTATTCACCCATAATTTCCTAAGATTTTTCTTAAACTTGTTCCTATAAGGTCCTAAGAAAAAGTCTACATCAGATTCATTGTTCACACCTTTGTGTACTTGAGTGTGTGCAGATTCTGTTCTTACCTGAGAACAAATCCCAAATAACAAAACACTGGTCAATGTCAGAATCTTCGTGAAAAACACGTAAGTGGGTTTTAGAAGAAATTTCTTCTTAGGAATGGTTAATGAATGAAGCCCACTGTTCTGACTACCTCCAGCTAAAACAATCACTAAAGCTAAAACAGATGCTATTATGCCCTTCTTTAACAAAGAAACCTATCACTTCAACCTGAGTGACTAACTAATGTAACAGGTTTAATTTTATTATTACTTTTTTTTTTAAAAGACGCAATTTAGTTGTTTCTAATTTCACCTGCTAGCTAGGTTTCTAGTTCCAAGCTGTGAGGGTGAAGGCTAGCTCATGCCTCTTCAGAGACACGTGAAGTCAGTCACAGCATCTTTTCAAACTGCTGCTAAGGCAACGTCATCACAGCTCAACACACTTGGAGTAGGACACTAATTGCCAATTTTGTTACGCCAATTCACAGACACCCGCGATGGCTGCATGTTCCTGAGTGTTGGGGAGAGTGAGGGCCATCCTACCCACCCAGAGAGAGCGAGACCAATTATGTTCTCTTGTACATTTAGCCACGGATGGCTGTGGCATCTATGAAGATGGAACTCGCAATCTCCTGATGATAGGGCCCTTTGATTAATGTAAGCACTGTTTTCAGAATCCATTGTTGTTATGTTTTCATACATATGTCTGCACTGAACACCAGATTACTTTTGAATAAATAATATTTAGAACATAATCTGTGTGCTTCTAAATTTTTCTTTGAGCTACTTGGCATTTAAATCTGTTAGTATCACAAATGTTGCGGATAGCACCAGGTAGCCTGTACTAAAAGTTTGGCGGATGTAGCAACAATAAGCAAGAGAGGGACTTTTTCTCAGAATTTTGCAAATGGTCAGTTGAGTCTCCTGAGACTAACAAATATCCTTAAGTGTCAGAAAAAACTTTCAGACTCCTATTTGCTCCTCGCTAGCATGACCCTTTGAAATGACCGCTGGATGCCTTGTATGGTTTTTGCGCGGATCAAGCAATCTGCCCTCAAATTAACTCCGTATTGAGAGCAAGCGAAGGAGCCGCTGGTCGCCAGGGAGACTGGCGATGGGTTTGTCTCCAGGGATACGGAGAAGGAGCGGAGCTGCTAAGAGCATGCCAGTCTCTTGTCAGCGGCCGCAAGAACAGACTAGCTCCTACTCTCCACCAATGCACGGCTCCCATCTGTTCATTTTCATGGACACCCCTCAAACACACATACACTTCACTCCTCACTCACTCACTCACACTCTCTCTCTCTCTCGCAGACTTATGTGCTCATAGACCCTAAATGGGGTCAGATAAAGATCTACAGAGACTAATCTGAGAGGCAGCAATCATAGTTTCGTGAAACATGAAAGCAAAACCAAGGGTGGAGAGAGTTCTTACTAAATTTGAACTGTTCCTCATACTCTTCCTGCTTCTTTTCCTTCTGTTCCTGCAGCCTCTCGTACAAGGATCGAGGATCATACTCCTCCTCTGGGACCTCTTTAAGATTGTGTAAATAAATAAACAGACACACACAGACACAGTATGAGAGAAGCTGATGTCATTGAGTTCTTTTTACTGCGATGTTAAAAATGCTGGAATTTACGCTGTTGTTCCTTTTTATTTTTAAACTGGCACAGAGACTGTCTTACCTTCAGGATCATCTGGCTTGCGGACTTTCTCCCATTCCTCCTGCCGTCTTTTCCTCCTTTCCTCTAACTCTGACTCAGAAACAAACTTTCGGCTGAGGTCCACACCATCCGCCATGGTAGCGCCTTCAGTGAAAACAGACCTAACTTAAGTAACCTAACATAAGCTCTGAGCACATATACGCCTAAAGAAATCTGTCCAGTGTAAATCATCAATGAGTTCCAGAACAGCTTTCCAGAACTCCTCCAGAATTACCTCACTGTGTCAGCTTTACCAAGTGGAACACCGAATCCAGTTCATGAAGTCATCCAGTTCATGAAGTCAACAGCTTCTACGCATTAAAACTGAATAAAGATTAAGATGACCCATAGCATAATGACACACAGTAATATCACAGTTCTGTAAGAAATTTAATAATACGTCAGAAATAAAATGCAACCGTGCAACTGTACCATGACGCTGTGATTAGATCTGCATAAAACCCATCCCTGAGTTTACAGATGAATTAGAGCCCCCTCATTAAAATGGAAACAAGGCTGAATGCCTCCCTCTAGTGGCAGACTGAACTACTAGACAACATTTTCAGAGATGACATAAAAACTGACATTTCTGACTTTGGCCTGCTGAAAAGATCAAAGGGGAACAAACACACACATATTTCTACAGCTTTTTATACAGCAGCCCTAAGATGTATTTGGACATTTTAACCACTTTATGAAGTTCTTTAAGTTACTTCATAAAATGTTTAACAAAATGATGTCTGTTTCACTGAAAAACAACATCCATCTGATGGTACTCTTTGTGAGGAGAAAGCCTGGAGAAGAATTGCAACCAGACTGCACTAAGAGTACAGTAAAGCACAGAACAGTTTTCATTAATGGGATCATGAACTCAGAAGCGTACAAGGGCATTTTGGACGTAACCTGCAGAAGTCTGCAAAGAAACTGCTCAAATGATAACATCTGAAAAACACCAGCAACATTTGAAAAGAATGCAAAAAAAAGACAGTCTTTAAATAATCTGTTCAAAATAAATGCCATTTGATTTTGACATGTTGCTTCCTAACACAATCAGCATAATACATTTGTTTGGCACAAATGTCCAAATTATTCAAACATGAAAAAACAGAAAACAGCTCCTTGATACAATTAATACCCAGCCATTTGACCAACTCGAGTGCTTTCTGAGGTTGCCTTTGGTTGGCATATCTAAATTTAAACACCATGCTTGTCTGTATGTACACACTTTAAAAAGATGGTCCTTCAAGGGTTCTTTAGTATAGGCAATGGTGCTATTTAGAACCAGGAGTTCTAGATAGAACCATTTCATAATTAAATGGATCTTTTCATGGTGAAATCGTTCTTCAGATTGATAGAGAACGTTCTGCTATTATTACAAGCTTGACATCATAACAATAGCAGAACACTGTTTGGTGCTATACAGAACCATTTTCAAAAAGGTTCTATACAGAACCATATACAACACACTCTCCATCTTTAGAATAATTTCACCACGCAAAGAACCATTTAAGCATAATAATGGTTCTACATAGAACTACTTCAAGGTTCCAAATAGAACTATTGCCTTTACTAAACAACCCTTCAGTAACCATCTTTTTTAAGTGTATGGACGCACAATAACGCCTAGTGCAGAACTGACTCCAGTCGTTAAAATGTTCAGTAAATCAAGTAATGGATTAAGCAGCAGGCTCGTCACAATCGTCTAATATTCACTCATAGATATGTGCATAACGCCTTTAAATTACAAGTTAAATTACAATAAGATTGTTGCCCATAAACAGCACAACCAGCATGTGTATCAGGTTAACGCAATCAGCTCGGGTAACGTCACTGTTAACGCTAGCGAGCTACCTTAAAACCCACGCAAGCTGGAGTTAAGAAGTGAGTCTACAGTCAAACATCTAATTTATTCTGCCTACAATATACAAACTACATAATTATAATGTTACATGGCGTTTCCCTGACAGAGTGGTTTACTTATTGCACTTAACGTTAACGCTACTTATCTTGTAAATCCGTATGTCTGCTAACGCACTGCTAGCTGTGCTGCGGACAGTAACGTTAGCTCGCACATATAAACAAGCCACGTGAAGTTAAACAGCACAATAATAACGAAACGCTGCCCATCCTGCTCATGGGCACGGGCTCAATCCGTCTAAAAGCTGTTTCAGAAGTTAATTAAGGATATTCGTGCAAAGAACAGTACAGAGAAAATAGCCATATTTACCATCCGCTCTTGTGCCACTGTAAATTCTGTCCGTGTTACTGGGCTACCCATCAAATGTAATTCCTACGAATGAAGGATGATGGGAAATGTAGTTTTAATGGGAACTTGTTGAGTTCAGAGTTTGTCCTTTTTAGTAAGTAAGGAAGCCGTGCACATATAACATTAAGTATAATTCTCAGAAATAATATTTAAATCCTTGTTTTCATGGCTTCCTGCTTTACCTTTATTTGAAAACTTTTATTTAAAAATATGTTGATTGTTGACTCAATAGTGCAATACTGGAAACTAATACGACACTACTAATATTACTAATACGACGAGCGAAAGTTCTTATTCGCGAGCTTCCTGTACGAATTTTCCGTTCCACCTTAAATGGTGCAGCAGTAACATTATTTAAGGTGGAACGGGCAAATTCGAACAAGAAGCTGACTGCAGCTGTGTGCTGATACGCTTAATTTTCAAAAGAGCATTTTTGGGAATCAAACTACTAGGTGTAGTTTATATATACAAACGAAGTTTAAATTGTTCGTTTGAACTTTAAAAGAACCCACAACTCCCCAATTCCTTCTAAAAATCCACAATTTCGGTAATTGTCTCATAATGTGGTTATTAATTACGGAGAAGAGATATCTGAATGGAAGTGTTGCTGGTTGCTAGGAGGGGTTGGCTGCCGCTGGGAGGACGTCGCTATAGAAATATGTGATGAGCTCACAGCTCCTCCGCTCTGATTGATCCTTCGCTCCGGCTCCGGGCTGACACTCCACCAGTTTATGACCGAAACGTCTCATGGCTCGACAAGAAGAGCTCGGTAGCTAGCCGTGAATTCCGAGATAGCGCGTTTGAGTGATTTTCCAGGGAGAGAAATGATATATTATGTTAGTACTTTAACAAATGTTGGTTGCAGACTGGGCGCATGTTTATGTATGTAGGCTTAGGGCTAGTCGCGTAGTAGGTTGCTAACAGTTAGCTAGTTAGCTTCAGTGAGACACTTCCTGTAGTGCTCCTCGGGTTGGGCCTGGACACTGAGCACCGCTCCACTCGGAATAAGAACAGCACATCTGTTTAGTTAATGTCACCGGTAGGTAATGTTTTTTATTTCGATTCAAGGAGTGTTTTGCTCTTACTGTTCTTTTAGCTGGCTTTATCTTATGTTTCCGGTAAACTCTTCTAGCTCAGTTAGTTAGTTAGCTAGCTAACGTATCTAGCTACAACAGTTAGCTACATCACATTAGCTACCTAGCTCACAGCTAGCCAGCTTTCTGGCTAACGTGAATAAAAACTTAACCTAGGTTACATGTTGAAACATGTTTGGTGTACGCAAAGTTTGGCAAGAATGTAAGGGAAGATTTTCGTTGCTTAATAAATTTAGCCAGTGTGAATCAGTCTACAAGTCCACATGCGTCAACTATTAGTCAGCTATTAACGGTGTTTATATGTGGAGCTGGCTAGGTGAATATTAACTAGCTAACGTTAGGTAGCCTACGTTATATGTTTTGTCAGTTGGCTATCTTTTAATTTTTAGCTACTAGCAAGCCAACATTATTGTGTAACTGTAGCCTGATAAAGAGACTCTTATTACAAGACTCTTTTTACAAAACGTTTACATTACAAAACCGTTTGAGTTTCTTAATTGTCAGTTCAGTGAGTAGCTATGAATGTAAGCTGTAACTACAACTCTTAAGTTAGTCAGCTAGTTTAAAGGGAAGTTCCACCGATTTGCTACATTTCTCCATACATTAATTGTTAAAATGTAAACAAAGTAATTCAGAGTGACTGAAGAACTCCGTTCTAGAGACACTTACAGTCAGAGTTGTTCACATTGGTAGTTATAGGAACCAGACGTCCAACATAAAGTTATTACATGAAATAGTTATGAATTCACTGCCTGATGTCTGAGACATTGTTCTATGATAGTTTTGAGAAAGTTTTTGGCTACAACGTGCTTTTAAAAATCAATTAATGGTGGTGAGATAAAGTATGTTATAAGTTAAAGTAGTCCCCAAAACTTTATTCTAACTTTATCCCAATAAGACTTGTTTATAGATTTACCTCTATTTTACCATAATCAGCATTACATATAAAATTTGGAAGACACACTTAGGTTCACTGCTGATTTTGGATATTAATTAAAATGGCTATATTTATGTTGTAAACATGGTGATTCCTGGTTCCTATCACTACCACAGTAAAGAAGTCAGAGTTAAGTTTTTCTAAAATGAACCATTTCACATCATACCACTCTGAATGACTCTGTTTACATCTCAGTGATTGAATTACACATACATTTTGAAAAATCAGTGGAATTAAGAAACAATAAACTTTGTTGAGAAGTGATATGTGTCTAATAAAGCTGTAATTAATTTAGAAATCAGTGTCCACAGCTAAATATTTTGCTCTCTTGATGTTGACAAACTTTGGACGTGCAGGGTTCACAGGTTTTCTAATATTAAGCTCCTTATTATTGTACAGTGTTTTACTGTTACCTTTGTATTCAAGTGTGCCAAGATGTAGTTAAGGATTACAAATAGCATTCACGTCATGTATTATTCTGGTAATAGATGTCCCTGGTTGTTGTTTGTTTTTTTTGTTTTTTTTAACTAAGGCGCCCAACATCAAAAAAACGAAAGCAGAACCTGTGCAATGAAAGGAATGTTTATGCTTTCTGTTGTTGATGCTATGCTGTGGGGCAAGTTTTTCTTGGCTTTTACTTTTTTTTTTTGGTTGATCAAGCTGTTGAACACTGTTGGGTCTGTATTTATTACTGTTTGTCTCCACACAGGAGTAAAGCACTTACTGGTGTAGGATGCTTGTTGACTGCAGCACTAATGCTGTCGCTTCTCTGTGCTTGGCTGCTGACAATCTGCAGTAGCACAATGATTGACATCCCTATGCGGCCCATCCCGAGGCACCTCCCTAAGTCCTTCAAATGATATGATAGTAGCCACCTGGATTGCATTCTGTGCCAGCAGGAGCCTTGCGCGGGTTCTACGACTGACCGTAGAACAGCTGCGAACTGTAGAGTTCTGGCCAAGCCTTGCAGGCAGCAGAGCCATGGGGAACAGCTGTGTCTGCAGAGAGGACAGCGATATTGAGGAGGGAGCGGCGCCTCGCAGGCAGCTGAGGCGAGTGGACAATTCTGCCACTGATCCTCCAGAGGCCAGGAGCAGTCGGCCGAGGGACCCTGTCCGACCACCCAGACGAGGCCGGGGGCCACATGAGCCGCGGCGCAAAAAACAGAACGTGGACGGTCTGGTGCTGGATACACTGGCTGTCATCAGGACTCTTGTTGACAAGTGAGTGGTCCTCAGCTTTAATGAAAAAAGGAAGTGAGAAAATACACTGTGGGGAATGACTTTGTGAAACTTGAAGTATGACCTCAAACTGGTCCATTTGTGGACCTGCTTGCTATACGATTCATGCATATTAAATTGGAGTTTTCTGTTTCTATGAATGACTGTTTGGTTCCTCATTCATCTGTCAGTGTTTTCCAGTATGGTGAAACACATGTGACTTATATTTAAGTATTAGGTGTATTCTTAGGAAACGCAATGGTTTTTGCTTCATGTATGTTATCCTTTTTTCTGTAGCGATGCCATATTCTTTCTGTATTTAGTTTCTCAGCTTCAGAAGTAGATGGAGACTGCTGAGGCACTCTCATCAAAATCTATAATGAGGAGGGCATTATTTATTCATTTTTTTCTCACAGCCTTGCTTTTAATCTTAATTTATTACTGAAGCCTAGAGAATGAGCCAACATGAGCTGCTGCTCATGTTTGTTTTAATGCGCTGGCATTGTGTGAGCACTCCCTGTCTTTTCTGTATGTTCTCTCACCTTCCCACATGGTCAACCTACACGGATGTCCACCAGCCTACATTAATATCCCATGGTGGATGCTCACTTAAAGAGAGCAGTTTAATTTCAGTCTGTTCCGTTCACCAGTTCAAAACTTGGACAAACCTATGAACTTAGGATGGCAGATATCAGGCTTGATCCTTATTTGCTTCACTATGCTTAGTGTACTTTTTAGTGGTGCTTACCTGTTTCAGTAGTACTCTGAGAGCATTTCCATGCACATATACCTTTCTCACAAGCACGCCACCTACGCTAACAACAAAACATGTATTCCTAACTTTACTGTTGTCTTCTGCGCTCTCAGTCAGTAGGAGCTGTTTCATCCAGGAAGCAGAGTTTCTGATAAAAGAGATGAACAGCATCCGGTGGTATTTACTAGCTGTGAATCAGTGACCTCAGCCCTCACATCCCATCATCATTACTCACTGGGCAGTTAGAGTACCCAGGCACCAGGGTCTTTGGAAGATTAGCCTTTGCTGTCTCTCTTGCTTCTCTACACTGCTCCTTATTTTGCAGCTTAGCCCCCTTAGTAACATGTGGCCTCTGATTTATGACATGGATAAAGGTAACTGTAACACAGTGTAGAGAAGAGCTTATTCCTCCACTTGGGAGCCAATGTGATGGTGCTCTTGTCTCAGAGGGCTTCTCCTGAGAAAGCTCAACTGTCACCACACAGATTTACTGTTCCAGGAGCAGTTAGGGAGATGGATGGGGACATCCTGCAGCCAAAACAACTGGAGCAGTGGCAGCTGCAGCAGCCCGAGTCTGTCTGCCCTCCAGTGGCAATCCATCATTCATCCTTGCATGTGCCCATTATATCATTAGGATTTCATATGCTTTGTTCTAAATAGAGTACTAGAACGTTACAGTCACAAGACCAGAGAAAGAGCAGCCTAGAGCTCACTGAAAATTCTTAACCCATTGGTCATTAGCTTGATTTTGTAATCTTTGTGTCAAGATTGTTTTTTGATTTATTTTTATTTTTTTGTGTTACAGTGACCAAGAGCCCCCATACTCCATGATAACATTGCACGAGATGGCCGAAACTGGTAAGTGGAAATGCATAATGACAATTGTTTCACATCACTCAGCTGCCTTCACACACCGTCAGACCTGTGCCTGATGTGCTGTCTCTGTGTCTGAGCTGGAGTCCAGCCTAGGCTGTCCTCACCTTGCCAGCCCCTGCTTAAATAATTAGCATGTCACCCAAGTAGCGGAAGCTGTGGAAATGGTAGGGTATTAGAAGGGACTGGCTGCTGCCTTTGATGTTGGCCCTGGCCTTTACTACCATTGTCATGGTGATACTAGATTTTGTTGCTGGAGCTAAAGTTGATTTGCTGCTCAAATGCACCCATAAGTCCTTTAGTCTATTGCTTTAAGGCTTAAGTTTGTGTGTGGTATGTGTCTAAGAAGCATGCTTGTTTTTTCTGGGTCAAAATGCAGTTTGTTTGGGGAAAAGTGCACCACTTCTTTCTTTGATGGCACTAACGGCAGGTTTGCAGAAACTCTGCAGAGGTGTAGCAAGTTTCCTGTTACAAATTACTGTTAAATTTTTTTCTTATTATTGATCTGCACGTTTTCCAATTGTGACTCTGTATCATCACCAAACCCCTTTTGGCTATTGTTGGGGTCTTATTCAGCAGGGCCTTGGCTATTCTATGGATCTTACTGGGGAGCAGAATACAGCAGAGACTGAGCTGGTCTTCACAACTGTGTCCTTCCCGCCAGCATGTCTCTCTCTCTGTCCGGTTGCCAGGGTTTCCATTTCTGTTGACTTTATTTATACATGCATCTGTTGCTTTGGTGGGGACTGACGTGGTTTGGCTTTGGTGGCGTCAGGTGGCTGGTCACAGGCTTGTGGAGGAAGGAATGTGTAGGGCAGCTTGAACAGCACACAATAAAATCTGTTCTCAAAATGCTGGACTAGGATTTTAAATTATCATCATCTGGCCATTGCTTAGGGGATTTGAGCATAGCAACTATATTAACAATTTGCCTTTTTGCCCAAAAAATTGTACTGTGATTAGTAGCGTAGTTGGTGGAAACTGTTCTGGAGAGGGGCTGAAGCTGTCATGATTTACCATTCATCACTGTTGAATCAGCTTAATGATTCTGATTTTATTTTTGGACACAATGACATTGCATCCCCTGTATAGCTAATCATTATTGTTGTATAGTGTATATATAAAGGAATAGATGAGCGACTCTCTTCTCTTAGACAGAGGGTGAACCTTTTGCTAGTAGAGTGGATCATAAAGACTGCATTTCTCTTTGTGTCATGTAGATGATGGATGGCTAGAAGTGGTGCAGTCTCTAATCCGAGTGATTCCTCTGGATGACCCGCTAGGGCCAGCTGTGATCACCCTGCTGCTGGATGAGTGCCCTCTGCCCACCAAAGTGAGTATTAATGTGTCCTACAGAGCATCAGCTCAGACAAGGCATCAGGTAGACACAACTGAGACATGGTTCAACATACTCAACAGATATATATATATATATATATATATATATATATATATATATATATATATATATATATATATAGTGATTCTAAACATGGTGATAAAAAACCAAACACTGAGTATAAAAGGTTAGGGCCTGATTTCCCCTAAATAACATAAAGCTAAACGACAATATGTCATTCTTTTGATGCTCATACCAGCTGATTGAAACTTTTTGAAGGAAATAAAATGATTGTTCCGATGTGGTTCAGAGTTATTTATCTAATTCATTAAAGCTTTACCAAATCATACTGACAAAAACGCAAAAAATCTCAGTCTGCTTTCATTCTTAACAGTGTTTTGTCAGTTATACACAAGAGTAAGGCACATAATCAGCATTACTTTATTCAGAAGCAGCAGAGGGGCAACTAATTCTATTTGGAGCAAGCCCAATCCTATATGTGGTGATGAAGTGAAAGTGTGATTCGAAAAACCTCTGTCTCGAGTACAGTGGTTCAAAAAGAATTCAAGATTGCCTCACTCATTGCTGCCATCACTGTGTGTTTTCCCCTATTGTAAAGCAGCCTTATATCTCTTGTCCAGGATGCTCTACAGAAGTTGTCAGACATGTTGAGTCTAAGCGGCGCTGTGGCTCGCCAGGACGCCCTCATCCCCGCCAAGCACCGCAATACCACTGCTGTGCTGGGCTGCCTAGCTGAGAAACTCGCTGGTAAGCTGTTCTTATCCATCAATGTCTAATGTCTAAATACACACACTTCATATGTGTATGTGGTGAAGACACTGACTTGTTTTCACATGTATTGACATCCAGGGAGTGTGCACATTCATACATGTCCATACAAGGTGATGCTAGATCTTTTCATATGCTGTTTACTGGTAAGAAGAGGGTTATAGCATTTCCCAACTACAGGAAAAGAGCTGAGTCTGGAGTCATACAAGTTGCGTACTGGGTATGATTCTGCGTGCTGCAGCGTCCCTCAGAGACCTGTGGCCATGCTCTGACAGATCTGCTGAGCCCTCTAAACACAAACACAAACACACACAAAAGCACAAGCACAGAGTGCACCGAGGGATCTCTGCCTTTCTCTTGCTGTCCAGTAGTTTCAGTGTCATGAAAAGTCGGACTTTTCATTTTGCTTTGGTAGCTAAATGCTTGCCTAGTTTCTGTGAGTTGAGTCCTTACTCTGTGTCTCACAGGTCCAGCTAGCATTGCACTCCTCAGCCCAGGAACCCTGGAGTATTTACTGGAGAGCCTGGTGAGAGCCACTTTTGATAACAGCACTAATGCTGATACACACAGCATGTGCTCATACTTCTATAACTTTTTCCACATACAGTCACAGGGCTCCAGTTCAGTTATTCAGGTTCCCTCTGGGTCATGCTTTTATGCTTTGGCTTACTTTGTTCCTTTTTTTGTTCCCAGAGTTCTGAGGCCCATCCAACTGTAATGCTCTTTGCCCTCATTGCTCTGGAGAAGTTCTCTCAGACCAGTGAGTCTCTCTGTTCAGCCGTTTCTTGTCACTGTAATGTCACATTTGATACTTTGGCCAAAAAGAATTGTCATGATTAACTGTTGTTGTGGTTTCAGGTGAGAACAAGCTGACTGTGTCAGAGTCATGTATCAGTGATCGTCTAGCTGTCTTGGAGTCTTGGGCAGATCACACAGACTATCTTAAACGCCAAGTTGGCTTCTGCGCACAGTGGAGTCTGGACAACCTGTGTGAGTACCTCCATCTACTCTGCAAAGAGGCTGGAGAATTAGGCTTACATGTCCCCCCCCCGAATAACTGCTAGAGTAAGTCAGATCATTCTGGTTATGTCTCTGTGGCTATGCCTGTGTTTTATTTATGGTTCATAAGGTGTAGGTGTAAATACAGTCAAATTGACACTGACATTCTGCACATCAGCGTCAGTCATGAGTTTAGTTTTGAGTTAAACTTCTGGTAACTCGAAACAAGAATTCACTGTCCAATTACTTATAGACTGGCTGCTCTGTTCTTCTCATGATTTTTAGTCACTTTCAGTATGTTTTACTGTAATTTGAAGATGGTGTGAATCATCTGTACTGCAGTATGTCTGTAGGGGTGTGAGGACAACAGTTTTGTTGATAATGTGTACTTAATGTTCTCATCCTTTTACTTTAGTTCTAAAAGAGGGTCGCCAGTTCACTTATGAGAAGGTCAACCTGAACAACATCAACGCCATGCTTAACAGCAATGATGTCAGTGAATATCTCAAGATCTCTCCAAGTGGTCTGGAGGTGAGAGCACAGGATTAAGAATAAGAGATCTGACTATAGTCTGTGAAAATTCATAAATGTTTACAAGCGCTCATTTGTTCTTCAGGCCCGGTGTGACGCATCGTCTTTCGAGAGTGTGCGCTGTACGTTTTGTGTGGACTCGGGGGTTTGGTACTATGAGGTCACGGTCATCACCTCTGGGGTCATGCAGATTGGCTGGGCCACCAAGGACAGCAAGTTCCTCAACCATGTATGTCCCTACTGGAGTCAAATGCTGTATTTGAGTAAACGTAATCTTGTGACCCTCATTGTGCACACAAATTGAGGTTTTCAAATCCAGATCAAAAACCTTAAAGAAATGTAAGACTATCTGGACATGGTCTAAGATTAGGCTTAATCAAAAGTACATCATCAGTTGCGATTCACCATTGAAATTCCTTTTTGGTCTAGGTTTAACACAAAGGACTTGTTTTCCCAGACTGTCATAGTTCGTAGATTGACTACCGTACAGAGTTTATACACATGAAGCATAGTCACACTGTTCTGTATCTGTGCGTGATAGGAGGGCTATGGGATTGGAGATGATGAGTACTCGTGTGCGTATGACGGCTGCAGGCAGCTGATTTGGTACAACGCTCGCAGTAAACCTCACTCCCATCCCTGTTGGAAAGAAGGTTGGTACAGTGATTTTACTATAGAGTTAACGTTTTGGTTCCCACACCTTCAGTCTCAGAGTAGTCAGATTGAGCTGTTTAGATCCTCTTTAGATAAGTTTAAATTTAATGCTCTTCTTATGAGAAGCATGATCTTGCAATCACTGATTAAGTATCACAGTGAAAGATATTCAGTGCTATAGAAGCAGTTTTCAGTTTGTTGGGGTATAGTGAATGTTCTTTGTTCTACAGGTGATGCCATAGGATTCTTGCTGGATCTCAGCAAGAAGCAGATGGTTTTCTATCTGAATGGACACCAGCTTCCTCCTGAGAAGCAGGTGTTCTCCTCTGCCACGTAAGCAAACCAGTCTCATTTCCTGTTCTCTTTTACTAAGAGAGATTACCATCCATGCAGCTGTCTGAGCAGAAGTTTGTTTTTTGTAAGAAGATGAGTGAGTGGTAATACAGTATGTTTGTTTGTTCTGCTTATTGTCATTCTCAGATTTATGCTCTGTACTTTCTCCTTCAGGTCTGGCTTCTTTGCAGCAGCCAGTTTCATGTCCTACCAACAGTGTGAGTTCAACTTTGGTGCCAAGCCCTTCCGCCACCCCCCATCTGTCAAGTTCAGCACCTTTAATGAGTTTGCCTCGCTTGCATCCGACGAGAAGATAATCTTGCCCAGGTATATTTGGTTGCTGGACACTAAGGATGAGCACCTCATAGTAAAGTGCTTAAGTGAAAGTAAACCATAGGCAGTGCTCTCATAACTCTATTAACAAGATTCTCTTTCTTTTCTCTCTCTCTCTCTCTTTTAAAAAAAAACTTTCAGACATAGACGTCTAGCCCTTTTGAAGCAGGTTAGCATCAGAGATAACTGCTGCACCCTCTGCTGTGACCAGATGGCAGACACAGAGCTGAGACCCTGTGCACACAGGTACAGAGTATAGGAGTGGAGAAATACAGTTTCTGGGTTAAAGGGTTACAGGGACATTTACGTGACGCTACTTAAGTTAAGAAGCTTTCTTTTGGATAATAGCCGAAGTGAGCTTTTAAATAATCCTACTGTAGATGCATTTTCATACACATTTTGCAAGATGTTTATCTATTTGTGGCAAACAAGAAATTGTGCACTACCACATTGTAACATTTACTGACAGCACTTTCTCAGCACCAGATATGTGCAATTATGTTTCACCTTCATATTTTTTTAACAGTGTATTGTCTCTGTGTCTGTTTGTGTTTTGTCTGAAGTGGGATCTGTATGGAGTGTGCCTTACAGCTGGAGACATGCCCCTTATGTCGTCAGGACATTCAGACACGAGTCAGACTCATTTCCCATGTGTCCTGACATCAGCCCCGAAGGCCAGGGCACGGACACTCCCCCTAGCTTCCATCCCATCCAGTTCCCTCTGTACAAGAGATCAACCTGACCAATAGAAATCATGATGCTGTTTCAGGATTGGACGCTACAGCTCAGAATGTCGAGAGGAAGGATGGATGGAACCTTCCTTTGTTCTAAAGAGAGAAAGATATTTTTTCGTCTCTTAAAGGAGGGAACACACCTACAAGACGGCCATCCCCTGCCAGAAAGGATGAGAGGGCTGGAAGAAAACTGGGGAAGTTGAAAGGTTTCTGAGAAGTTCAAAGCATCATTTCCAGAAACATGCCATAAAATGCATGTCCAATGTAGAACATGCATTGCATACACAATCTGCCTAGGACTCTCTCCCCACAGGCGCTGATCAGCAGTGCCTGCATATCTCTGTGTTCAGATGTGTTAAATGTATCTGTGACTCTTCTCATGTTTTAGTCAAACTAAAAGGCTCAACAAGAAAGACAGCGTTCCCTAACCACTTTATTTCCACAATGATGCAAATGCCTGATTCTGAGACACACATTGAACCTAATATTTTCTTCTCTCTGTCTCTCTCTCTATCTCTCTCTTGTACTTGAAACAATTGTGGGTTGATTCCCTTGCATTATCAGTAGGATGGAAGTCTTGATTTGAGAAGCTGTGATTTCCAATGGTATTATACAGATTTTCATTGTACAGAATGAAAATCCCATTTAGTATCAAAAACTAAACATAAAATTGCAGAGAATAAACTTTGACCAGAGGTCATACAATGTTCAGGTTGCTGTATTGTTCATCAAATGACCTGAGAGATTCAATCATTTGTCTTGCTTACCCTGATTATTTAAGGAGGATGCACATATCTAAGTCTTGGATACAGAGAGCAAAATGTGAACTTTCTGAAACGGTTAATGTGAGGAGGCCGCCATCTAAAGAGCTCCAAAGATCTAAGAATGTGGCTGAATTCAGAATCGTTCTTTTTCTGAACTGTGATGTTTGTAATAAACGTATGTTTTACGTGTTGCTTAATAATTTGTTGCAAATGATTTACAGAGCTCAGATGAAGACCTGAAACAACTGGGCCGAGCCTGTGTTTGTGTTAGAATGCAACAACAGAATAATAACAGAAGAACGAAAAATAATGTCCTAAACAGTTGGGGTTGGGGGGGTGAGGTGAGGTGAGCAGTCATATCCCTGAAGCAAAACAGAAAAATGTGAACTATTATGAGGACAGGATTAAAAGAATGAACGGTTTGGATCCTCCATCCATCGCTACTACCGTGAAGATGCGGCAGGTGGCGGTGTGCGCTCCCAGCAGCACCTGTGATCCCTCTGAGGAAAGGGAACCATCCGCTAGCTAGGAAACGTCGCCAGCAGCCTGCAGATATATAAAGGCTTGGTACTTCAACTAAGTATTTAGCTATAGTACACATAGGTTTTTGAATACCGATAACATAGGTAACGTATCAGTTTAATATAAATCTGTTTATTATAAGCGCTCTGGTATCTGAGACACTGGCTGTACGAGTTAGCACAACTGGTCATAGCAACTGTTAGGCTAACTAACAGGTTTTACCAAAACATTATTAGAACTTTTGACTGGCCAGCCTCTGTTTAGTACTGTGAGTCAATAGACAGCTAAATATTGTCTGACCTTTCAGGTTTGCACACATTTGTTTTGGTCTCTTGAGTTAATTTACTCGCTAGCCTACGCTCCAGCATAGTAACGTTAGCTAGCTAACGCTAGGTAACATGTTTATTGTAGTAAAATAAGTGTGTATGGTGTTGTGTTACGTTAGATTTATCCCGAAAGCGTAAACTCAAATACATATCGTACTGTACGTGGGTGGTAAGGTGTATTGTGTTTGTGTACCTGCTGTAACTGTCATGCTTTGTAACCGTATTTTCCCTTTCAGCTGAAATCTTCAGCGGGCTCTGGTCCGTCTCGATGTCGCTGTGGGCTCCGGGTGCAGGAGGCAGGCGGCCTCCGTCTCAGCCGAACCCAAACAGCGGGTATGCGCGTTTAATCAGAGAGACTAACGTGCTCATCCTTTAGGAGTGGTTCCTCAGCGAAATACTGTCTGTATTATGTAATATGAGCTACTCTAGCTCTCCTGTTACGTTTATACATTCAATGCGTAACATCTCTAAATAAATGACTCACCTGTTTTTATGCTTCATATTCAATGACTATTCCTAATTTAATGGGGAGAACTGGGTAAACATAAAATTAACATGGTAATGTCCTGTTACACATCTTGTATGCATCAGTGTTTTTGGGGTCAGTTTGGCCCCAGCCTGTTTTAGCTGTATAAAAAGAAGTATCAGCATTTTACCCACACTGGCCACTATAACATGCAATTTTATAATCTACAAAAAAATGTCCCTCTGTGTTAGTGCTTCAGTGTCCAGCATACTGGACATTTGGAGAAATTAACATGTATTATTGCCAACACAACAACACAAAGCAAGCATTGAAATTGCGTTTACTGTATGTACAGCTGCATGAAACGTTTCTGAACTCTTGCAACCACCTGGACCACCTGGCATAAACGGCTCCTAAAATATTAAATCATTTTCTTAATAACTTTTATATCGTCATAATAAACAAAGAGCTGTTTAACACAAAGCGTATACGCTGATTTACATTACTATGTCTAAAATGAACAAAACAGTCAGCAATGGAGAAAAAAATAAAATAACATTACATAAGCTGTATTATATATTATATTTATTTATTCATACATTTTATACACTAGCCAAGTGAGTCTGCAGAGAAATATATATATTATATGTGTGTGTGTATATATATAAAATTATACAGATATGGATATGTTATTTTAGGCATTGATAATGCTGTATTTTGTGGTCCCAAACGTGAGTGTGTTTCTGTTTTTCTGCAGCGGAGTGAAACCTCTTCGAGCTTACCGAAGGCAGCCATATCCTCCCAGAGAGGAGAGAAATGACATGTACCATGAATCAGAAAAGTAAGTTAGAACTGTAATGGCTTATGTTGTGTCAGCTGACACTGAGTGTGTTTACATACAGTTAATAATCCAATAACTGCAGAACATCAGATTTTGTCAGTAATTCGTTCAATGTATTTACTTAAGAAATCAGATAACGGTAAAACTACATGTTCAAAGCCAGCATACATATCTACATGAGTCAGGCAATAATTGGATTTCTGCTTTGCAATCGGCAATAAGATATTGAGTCACTCTTTCTGGAAAATATGAATAAACATCATCTAAAAGATAAAGAATATTTAAAATCTTTATTTCGTTGAACATGTAGTTGGTTTCAGCATTGCTCAAAAAGTGTTTTTTTGCCATCATGCAGGTGCTGTGTTAAGCACTGCTTGCAGTTTCTGGGACAGCGCTTTGTTTTTGCACATGCACAGTCTGAGAAAATGATGGAAATCAGACTAAAGATATACATGCAATGAAAAACCTGATTATTGAACTAAAATTCAGGTCTCTTGATCAGACTTTTAGAAATACAATAATAGCCTTAATTTGATCTAAGAAATTGAAGTATGCTGTTTACATGACCCCTTGAATAATCAGATAACTTAAGAAATAAATAACTTTATTATTGATGTGAGTGTAAATGCATTCAACAAAAATGTGTGTGTGTGTGTGTGTGTGTGTGTGTGTGTGTGGTTACTGTTTTAATAGCCAAATTCCCAGATCCAGACTAAATTTGATCAGAGATTATTTAGGACTTTTAGTGGATGGTCTCCTTAGTCCCTAACATAAGATTAAAGTCTGTTATATCGTTATTGTTCCTGAATGTTCCTATTGTTGATTCAATCTCTGTTTACAGCTATGACAGTTTACAACAGCAGGATGATTACTCTGCCTCTACGAACTACGAGACATATGAGCATTCAGCACCTCAGCCGCACTTGGCTCATCAGCCCAATGGTAATGATCTTGAGTCATAATGTCTTATGATGTAATTGCACTTCTACCAGCGTTCCCAAAAAGTAGAGATGTCAGTTGTCAGCGCTCCACTCCCATGTATAACTGCTATTTTAGAATTTCACTTCTACATTGTCTGCTGAATTTGAACGATGTTAGCTTTAAGGGTTTGAATTATTGTCAAGAATTCAGATATATTTGCATATGTTCCTTCAGTTGCCTCATCAACCGGAGAGGATGAGCGCAGTGCTCTGTACCAGAGATTGTATGAGCAGTTTCATGGAGATGGAGCTAAGAAGCCTGCTGACTGTGTTGTGCTCTCAGTGAATAATCAGAATTCGTGAGTATCAGCCACACCAGGAAACTGAATGCTATAAAAATGAAAAAAATCATTTATATCTTAATTTATTCACATTGTTAATATTTTAATTTGGGTGCTTTGCTTGATTTTTGAAGAAATCTGCAGGTTCTTAAAAATGGGAAAAACAACGTGAAAGCATGGAAACTGTTAAAAAAAACACGGAAGCTGTCATTTCTGTACACTCAGATGTTTGTAAATATATAAAAGTATAGCAGCTGTTCTACAAATTCACACTTTACACAAATTCAAGTGAAATGAAACTGATTGATGACACTGTCATCTTTTAAATGCACAAAAATTCAGCTTCACTGTATTTTTATGAAAAAAGAACCTGCCCTCATTTTTAAAATGGTCATAATCTCAATTCCAAATGGGAAAAGAAATGCACATTTTTGGATGAGCATGATTAAGAATTCCACTCACATCAAATGTTTCCAGTCATCCTAAAACAAATTGCAACTAAAACAAGGCATAAACCTCACATTTTTATTTTTTATTTTGTAAATGGGGTCTAATTTAAATCTCACTATTTATTTATAAAACAGGATGCTGGTAATACACATTTAAAGCCATTGTTGCATGTCTATGAACTGCTGTCTCTAGTTAGCAATTAATTGCATTTTTAATGAAGTAGAGCAGCTGTTCAATAATGCCACACAGAATTATTAATGCATTATTGCAGCAAACATAGAAAAACACTTACCTAAAATAAAAAAAACATAGTAATTGCAGCCTAGTCAGGTACTTTGAGAGTATATGATAGATTGTAATTTTCTTGATATTTTAACCAAAAATAGTTTAAGGTATCCTTTTGAGCACTTTAATTGCTTTAAGTGGCTTTCCTTTCATAAAAGAGCTTGAAAGTTTGATACCACACAAATGGTAAAAATAATGCATTTACTAATAAATTATCTACACTCACACGGTGAAATGCTCAAATTCTTGTCCTAAATGATGGATTAAATTCAATTCAACAAATCCAGCACAAAAAAACACATGTAACTTACCATACATCATTATATTTAACAAAATGTCATAAACCTCATGCTTATTGTATGTCAGAAATGACCTAATACATAATTTAAAATGTATCCTAAACCATTGTTGGGACTGCAGTGTGATGGCTTGTTACAACTGATAAATTACTGGTAATAGTGCTGTGTGTCATAGTATACTTAATATTCCAGTGGTTAAATATAATGTCATAACTTATGTTTTTTTTTTCATAATTTCATGTGAAGTGCAAGCAGACCTTTGGGACCACTGTAGACATTGTATTATCAGTTGTAACAACTAAGGTTTCTTTCCTAAAATTCGAACAAAACACTGGAAAGTGTTTAGTTCAATAATTTGTTCACCATTTATTCACCAAGCAAGAATGAAAGATAAACAAAGCAACAGACTTAAGATTACATTAGTATATTTACCATTTACATAGTAAGTGTTAATGAATTCTTGTCCAAACAAAAACATGACTAAATGTCAAACCGTCCAGGTCAACGTCTATTATTTAAGCTTGAAAACAATATTCTCCACAGGTTAAAATGGGTTATAACCAGTTTTAAACCAGTTTTAAACAATGACTAGCAAGTGTCTTTTAACAAACTTAAGATGTTTTGTTAGAACCAGGCAGTTTCTGATTATTTTTATATTGTTAATCCTTGGAAGGCGAAAGTTATTACTTTAAGTAATTCATCATTTTAGCTGTGCTATTTAAATACAATTACGTAGTTCTGTAAAGAATTCCATTTACGTTTTAAGTCTTTTTTTTTTCCACATGCAAAAATGTACAGAATGTATTTTTCTTTTCACAAAGCAGGACTACGCAATTTGATAAAACTTCATCAAATTCAAATCATAACAAAATACCATACCTTCTACTTGTAAACACATTGAAAGTTTAGAATTCACATTTCGACTGAATGTCTGAACTACAATTGTGAAATATTACCCCATGCTTTAGTTAGCGTCTGTGTTAACTGTGACTTCTAAGGATTAAATAATTGCTTTGTTGTTTATTTAATCTTTTTTGCAATTATTATATAACCGCATTTTTTCAAAAAAGTTGGGACATTGCAATATGTAAATGAAAATAGAATGCAAAGATATGCAATGTAAACTCTATATTTAATGGAAAATAGTACAAAAACAACATATCAAATGTTGAAACTGAAATTTTGTTGTTTTTGAAAAATATATGCCCCTTTTGGATTTGATGCTAGCAACACATTCCAAAAAAGTTGGGACAAGGGCATGTTTACTACTGTATTGCATCACCTCTTCTTTTAACAACACCTGTAAGCGTTTTGGAACTGAGGAGACCAATTGCTGTAGTTTTGAAAGTGAAATGTTTTACCAGTCTTTCTTGTTACTGGATTTCAGCTGCTCAACAGTTTGGGGTCTCCTTTGTCATATTTTTCAGTTGATAATGCACCAGATGTTTTCATTGGGTGGCAAGACCGGTCTGCAGACAGGCCAGTTTAGCACCCAGGCTCTTTTACCATGGAGCCATGCTGTTGTAATACGTGCAGCATGTGGTTTGACATAAGCAAAGCCTTACCTGAAAAAGACGTCATCTGGATGGCAGCATATGTTGGTCCAAAACCTTTGTATATCATTCAGCATTAATGGTACTTTCACAGATGTGCAAGTCACCCATGCCGTGTGCACTAATGCACCCCATACCATCACGGATGCTGGCTTTTGAACTGTGCGCTGATGGCCAGCTGGATAGTCTTTAGCCTAGAGGACGCAGTGTCCATGAATTGTACTTTTCCACTTCGCCTCAGTCCGTCTTAAATGACCTTGGGCCCAGAGAAGTCAGCTGCTGTTTTGGATCCTGTTTATGTTTTTTTCTTTGCATGGTGGAGTTTTAACTTGCATTCGTGGATGCAGTGATGAACTGTGTTCACAGACAGTGGTTTTTGAAAGTGTTCATGAGCCCATGCAGTGATTTTCACTACAGAATCATGTCTTGTTTCTAATGCAGTGCTGCTTGAGGGCCTGAAGATCACGGTCAGTCAGTATTGGTTTTTGGTCTTGTCCCTTGCATATAGAGATTTCTCTGGATTCTCTGAATCTTTTAGTGATATTATGTACCGTAGATGATGAAATCACCAAGTTCTTTGTTATTTTACATTGAGAAACGTTATACTTGAATTTTTGCACTGTTTGCCTGTGCAGTCTTTCACAGAGTGGTGAACCCCTCTTCATCTTTACTACAGAAAGATCAGTCTCTCTGGGCTCTTTTTTATACCCAATCATGTTACTGACCTGTTGCCAATTAACCACCAGGTTTTTTTTTTTTTAGCATCACACAATTTTACCAGGCTTTTGTTGCCCCTATTCCAACCTTTTTGAAATGTGTTGCTGGCATCAAATTTAAAATGGGCATGCAATTTGCATTTTTTTTTTTTTATTCACATAATATTTTTAAAAATGTGCCACATATTTTATGATATTCAAACATGCTATTAACCCAGTCAGTAGTTTTCTGTAATGACAAAAATAATTGTAATATCTATACTTAGAACATGCCGTGGCAGATAATTTCCTTGACAGATTCAGCCTTACACTTGGTTTTAAACATTCTTCCTGAGGTGGTTATTGCACCCAAGTGCAGATAAGTTATTCCTTTATGTGAGGCCAACTTCATCTCCAACCTTTTGTGCTGTATACGTCAGGCAGCACGATAATACCACCTCTTCCCGGCCACATGTTTAACCAATTCCCTGGTGCATGGAGGTCAATAACCAGCTCTCTTCTTCTTCTTTCAAAGGGATTATCCAAAATCGTTAGGCCACTGTTTGCAGGACCGTGGCCTCTCGGTGGAAATGCTTTACCTGCAAGCGGAGTCAGGCCTGACCCGGGCCCTCCAAGATGTTCGCTCCGACGGTTCCCCCTTATGTATTCTCGTCGAGCAGACTAATGTAACTCTGTCCTCGTGCACAGTAATCATATTTTCAGAGTCCCTCAAAAGTAAGTCCCCACAGCCACAATTCTCCAAGCAAAAGCAATTTAACTAGCTATAACCATAGTACATATTACTATCAAAATACACTGGTTTAGTGGTGGGCATCCTTATGACCACAATTGTTTATTTTATTTCTTGAAAATCCTGAAACAAACACTCTGGTCAGGTCCATCAGAGAAGCCAATACACAATTTCTTCTTTCACATGGTGGTCTCAAACGCATTTAAAATGATCATTCCTGTTCAGGTGTCATTGTGCAGATATTTAAATGTTTATGAAAGGGGTTTAAAAAACAAAATAGCAATAAATACACAAATTAGCAAACATAATTACCACACACACACAAATGCTCGTAAGTGGAAAAAACACAGCAAATGAACAGTTTCCAAATTCAAATTTTCTAAACATTGCACGTTTTAAAAAGCTAGACCATGTCACATAGGATTTAAAAAGGTTTTCACTCTCTTTCTAAAACTCTCACTCTCTCTTTCTAAAGCTGAAGAAGGTGTGTTTGAGGCTGATGATAACATTTAAATGATTAGAATAAGCATTTTTATTAAACCAAACTGGCAACAGCCTGTATTGTAAGTGGAATAAATGTACTGTAATGCGAGTACCTAAATAGCTACCACAAAAAAGATTCAGCACTTTTAATACTATGCCTCTATGTTTGGCAAAATGCAACAGTTTAAAACAAATTATTTATATGTTTGTATGTGTTTGTCGTTGGATATCTTTATGAAAGTGGTGGTTTACAGTCACTTTTTCATCCCTTTAAAGTAACCATTTATACTGTGAAAGTGGAGATGCTCCAATGTGTAATTTCTGGTTTGTTACTACTGATATTGATGTTTTGTTAGGGCCAATATTCATATTGATATAATGTTTTTTAATGATTGTAAATAATTGTATTTTGCACTATATGGCCAAAAGTATTTAGGCACTTGACCATCACACCTACATGAGCTTGATGGATATCCCATTCCAAAACTATGGGCGTTAATATGGGGACCCGTTTAAGACTATAACAGCCTCCACTCTTGAGGAAAGGCTTTACACAAGATTTTGAAGTGTGTCTATGGGAATGTGTGTCCAATTAAGTCAAACGCTCCTTTGACTGAATGGGCACAAGTGGGTTGAGGTCAGGGCTCTGCAGGCCAGTGGAGTTCCACAACACCAGACTCGGTAAACCATGTCTTTATGGAGCTCACTTTGTGCACAGGGGCATATTCATATTGGAACAGGAAAGGATTTTCCCCAAGAAAATTGGAAGCATCCAGTTGTCTAAAATGTTTTTGTATGCTGTAACATTAACATTACCCTTCAGTGGAACTTTGGGGCACAGTCCTGAAAAACAGCCCCAGACCATTATCCCTCCTCCTCCAAACTTTACTGTTGGCACTAAACATTCCAGTAGGTCACACACTCCATCAGATTGCTAGATAGTTAAGTGTGATTCATCACTCCAGGGAACGTCCAGTGGTGACGTGCTTTACACGACTCCAGTCGATGCTTGGCATTGCGTATGATGATTTTAGGCTTGTGTGCATCTGCTCTGCCATGGAAACTCAAGTTCAACGTGCTCAACATGCTCAACAGTAGTTGCATCTGAAACACCTGAACTCAATGATTTGCCAGAGGGGTGTCCATATATTTTTGACCATATAGTTTAGATTTTTTATTCACAACAGTTTATCAGCACATTATATATCACCAAGTGATATACTATGCACCTCTACTTTAAAGTAACCCATTTGTCCTCTTTTTCCCTACAAAATGAAATCTACAAAACAAAAGGGACAAACCAAATGACAGAAAGCAGTTGGTATCAAGCAGATTTTTTTCTGCTTAATTGATGCCCACCACTATAATAGCAAGTATTCTTGCTGTAGTACAGAAAATTGGTCCAGATATTAATACAAATCTGATTTTTAAAACCAACCCACACCGTAACTTGGTAAGTGCATACATTCAGTTTTGTTACATTGCTTATCATCTTTCTGGCCTACCATCAAAAACCTAAATATCAATAATGTATTTTCAGGGTGAAACAATAGGGTCATATTGAAGACTCAAATGTTTCAGAGCTTAAAAAATCAAAATGCCTCCTTATTAAAACATTTCTGGTCGTGTGGGTTAATTAATGTATAAATCCATATTATGCCTGGAGTGAAGTGCTGCTAATGCACTAATATAGTTGTAATTCAGTTTTAAAAACTGACTGCTTACCCTTCATGCTGTTAACAGTTATAACAAAAAATCTGTACATTTCATTAAACATTATCATACACTTCTGCTCCCACCAAAAAAGAAATAAAACTTCATGAATTTCATCTTACATATAAATTGCATACACCATATTGAACAATATCCAGAAAATATCAGGCACTGGCACGTTCCTGCTGGTCTGATAAAACTCTCAAGCTGTTTAAACTGCAGTGGCCCTCACTGAGCACCATATGTGCCCCTACTTTCTCTATTGGCTGAGTCTCTGTTGCTCCCACACAGTTCACCGCAACATGCCCAAGGACCAGGCCATGGAGTTTGTGATGGTGGAGTTTGGCCGTCGGAGCAGTGGCCGGCGGCAGTGTGACCCTGTGGAGGCAGAAACGCAGGTGACAGAGCTGACCGATGACTACCTGGAGCGGGCCAAGCTGGAGTGCCACTTCGTGCCTTCCACTACACGACACCTGCTCTTTCTCATGGCAGAAGGCCTGCACCTGTACCCGGAGGAGTTAAAGACAATCGCTGAGTACATACAGAACCGCCAGGACCATCTGCAGAGTGAGTAAATAGGGAGTTCTCTCATTGAACAGAATGACACAGTGTACTGACAAACATTACAGACATGAAGATCCAGAGGTTTTTAGTGTGTGTATGTGTGATTGTGTTACTGGGTTTGTGGATTCCTCCTCCATCTTGCAGAGTTCCACAGAGTGCTCCTCATTTGCTCCTTCTTTTTGTTAAATTATGACTAGCCTTCCTCTAAATTATGCATGAATATAAACGTGCAGATTTTTATCAATCATGTGTATCGCTGACCTTGAATGCTACAATATTTACAAGGCAAGACAAGAAAATTAGTCTGTTGATCACAACTTGGGATTCACAAGAGCTAACCTGCTAAATAACTAACCTGCGCACAAGTCAAGTCTTGCAGTTTACTTAAGAGCTGCTGGTTAACAGTAAGACTTGCATCTTTTGCCTTTGCTCTGGTCTCACAGTAGTGATTGTAAATCTTGAGGGTTAAAAAGTTTGGTTTGCATCATGGAAATTGCTCAGCTGTGGATTTGCAGTGCATTGCCCAGCGTTTTGTTAGACAGTATGGCACTATTAAAGTAAAGCCAAGTGTGTTGATTTCGCGTGCTGACATTTAAACAGGCTACCAAAACAGATGCTAAGCAACTAGCTGCTAAATAGCCCCCAAATGATAGCTCCCATGATTTGACCATATAGTGTAGGTTTTTTATTCACAACTGTAGGCAAATGTAACAAGTCTTGTAGGAAAAATTAGTCATACATCCTCTCTGACTGACAGGAAGAATAAAGAGAAAAAAGTTTTCAAAAGTTCATTAATCACAAGTTTTGTCATTAGAAGGTCGTAGTGATAATGACAGGCTCATTATTGTTATTGTTTATCTCTGTTGCGTTGAGAAACAATGCTTTGTTTCCTAAAATGTTATTGAGCTTGCTGTATATTCCTTTGCTTCTGTGTCACCCCAGAGTTACCCAGTGACGTAGAAAGTGAAGTGGCTCCCGAGACGCTGAACAGTTTTTCTGCAGGTTTGGGGAAACCCCCACCCCTTCTACCAAATCCTGTCGGCCCCAGCCAACCAATTAGTGAGCACCCAACCCCTCCCTCAGGCATGGGTGAGCCACTTCAAAGTCATCTAATGGGTGCACCAGGTTTATGTACTGGCTATTTATTTAACTTGATAAAGTATATAGTGAAGTCAAGCAGTGATCAGTGATAAGTAGATGTTAAGACATCTATAAGGTGTATACAAATTCATAGACATTATACCTAGGTAGCTTTTGGATGTAAGCAATAAGAATGTAATAATATTTTTTTGTTAAACTTTTTTGACAATTGCCTGCAATGTAGATATAAAATCTCATATATCATATACATTTCAGAGACATGATATACATGAAACCTTAACTGGTTAAAAGTTAAATAAATGCTTTATATTTTTAAAACCTGATCTTTGTATTCTCCTAGCTTCGTATCTGAAGACCAAGCCTCCACCTCTTCTGTCAGTGGATGTTCTTCAAGGTTCCCCTCACAGGCCACCCGTCCCTCATGGCCCTCCTGCCCCACATGTCCCAGGCACCCCTCAAGCTCCACCTGCCCCTCATGCTCCACCTGCCCCTCATGCTCCACCTGCCCCTCATGCTCCACCTGCCTCTCATGCTCCTCCTGCCTCTCATGCTCTTCCTGACCCTTATGCCCCTCCTGACCCTTATGCTCCACCTGCCCCTCATGGTCCTCCTGACCCTTATGCCCCTCCTGCCCCTCATGGTCCTCCTGACTCTTACGCCCCTCCTGTCCCTCATGGCCCTCCTGCCCCTCATGCTGCTCCTGCCCCTCATGCTGCTCCTGCCCCTCATGCTGCTCCTGCCCCAACTGCTCCTCATGCTCCTCCTGCCCATTATGTCCCAGATGCCCCACATGGCCCTCTTGCTCCACATGGCTCTTCTGCCCCTCATGGCCAAGGTCCCCCGCATGGTCCACCTGCCTCTTATGCTCCCCAATCATCCTTTAGTCCCCAGCCACCAAGGGGTCCTCCAGGTCTGAGAGGTCCTCTAGGCCCCCGAGGGCCGCCAGTCCTCCGTAGTTTACTAGGCCCAAGAGAACCTCCAGCTTCTCGTGGTCCACAACCTCGACAAGGTCCATCAAGACCTCCTGGTCCACCTGCCACACATGGGCCTGCTGACCATGGAGCCCATGATTTCCATCCACCTCGAGGTCCCCCAATTCGTCACGGACCTCCACTGCTTCGTGGTCCACCATCCCAGAATGGTCCTGGTGTGCCTCGTGGTCCCCCACTTCTACGTGGTCCCAGAGCACCACCACCTGCACTCAAGAGCCTTCACATGGGGAACCCAACAGGTCTGGTCTCTCAGATATTAGGTGTTCTTCTGCATGTGTAATTACAAAAGATTGTGTTCTAGATTTGTAAGAACTTCACTTGACTCTGAGGTTCTTTTTCTTTTCTTCTTTTTCTTTCCAGCACCACGCCCAATGCGACGCCTGCTTCCCTGACCAACTCAAGGTGTCTGAAATGACTAAGCGGCTAGTGCAGCCACTTAAGAACTCATCAGTGTATTCTTGATGTTACTTGACAGTGTTTCTGTTGTGTGTTACATATTTTTTGTTTTCTGCTTTGTAAATTGCTTTTTATACATTTTTTCTTTAGTCTCAATTTCTTGTCCCTGGCATGAAAAATGCTGTATTTTATTAAAAGTCATTTTTTGTTCATTCTACAGCAGAGTCTGGTCTCTGATTGGTCTAAAGACCTGTCTCTTAGATGGCTGTCAGCATTACAAATGCTATCTTATAATCTTCTTAATGAGGTTCCTGCCCATTTGATCATTGTGTAGGTGAGTTTCAAACTGTGGGGTCAGACTGTAGTTTCCCTCTCTTTTTTTCCTCTCTTTCTTTTTTTCTCTTCACCTTCTCTCTGCTTATTCTGATATCTTAGCATCTACAGCCACAGATAATTCTGCGAGAGAATCCCTCCTCTCCCCCAAAACACAGCTGAGCAGCAGTTCAGTCATTATTCAGCCAACCTACAGATATAGTTCTGATTGGTCTATAAAAATTAAATATTGATAATGTTATCAAAATCTAAAAAGAGAGCTACAGTTTGTGAGTGGTGATACTGGTTTCATAATAGATTTATAATAGACATGGATTCAAATTTCATTCACAGTGACCTTTTGACCTTGGTATGGGAGGAGACAGATTTTTAATAAATAAAAATGCTTAGAAAACAGTCAAGTATGTTGGACGATTTATGGTTGCATAGCTCTTGAACTCCATGAACTATATAGTTCCACAGCAATTACCCCTGTATTTCAGTCTGAATGCACCATGAATTCATGTTAACATAGTTTCTAAACTCGTCACCTTTTTTTACTAACAATGGACAGTTTGATAAAGATTAGTCAGATAATTTTACAAAAAATAGTTGATCATTTCTTAATTAGTTTAATTTGCTCTGAGGTTTTAAAGCAAAGTCAGTAAAACTTACTGATTTGTCTTGCTGTGGTTCTACAAAAATCACAAGTAGTCTTCTGGTGCTACAATTGTGTTAAAATCGAGATCATTTTAAAAATGTAAGTACCTTCAACATCTTTATTTTAAAACCTTAAATTTAAATTAGTTTATAAGACTATAGATATACAAAATAGCTGCTAGTGCTGCATGGTGGCATAAACCTGTGCACATCACAATACATCACAATGGACACTAGAATCACTTTCTTCTGGTTTCCAACCCTTCAGTCACTCCAAAGAACATTACACAATCTGTTCTCTCAATCATGTTTCCTTCACAGCACCTGTCTTTTCCCACCACACCAAGACTGAGCTACAGTGATGATACATCACTGCAGCCAAGCAAGCCAGACCTGTCACTCTGGCCTGGATTGATGGCAAAAACACCAAACTACTGCATAAAAAAAGAGATAAGGAGGTTCAGAGTTCATGAAGATGTCAGCAGTTTTGTTAAAGAATAATGAATAATGAGAATAATGATTAAAAGTCTGATCTGTTTAGTGTAGCAATGATTTATAATACCTTGCCATGTAGACATGCACTAAAGAGTGTGGGGGCACCTGACCATCCCACCTATATGAACTTGTTGGACATCCCATTCCGAAACCAGGCATAAACATTTAATCCATGACCAGGCTTAACCCACATATAAGAAACTGGCCATATATCTGCTGCAGCAAGAGCCTCCAACCTTCTGTGAAGGCATCAGACCAGATGTTGAACATTGCTATTAGGATTTGATTGTATTCAGCAACAAGAGCATTACTGAGGTCTTGACCTGTTCCGGATCAAACTCATCCCAAAGGTACTGGATGGTGCTCCATCACTCCAGAGAAGGCAGTTTCACTGCTCCAAAGCCCAATGTGGAGCTTGTTACTCCTCTAGTTGATGGTTGGCATTGGGCATGGTGACCTTAGACTTGTGTGGCTGCTCTGCAGCATTACATTCAATTGGCAGTGCATTATACAAGGTATGAGTGCCTATGAATCTCTGTGTCATTCTTTCAGCATCATATTGTATTTAAATGCTTTTCTCCTGTCCTGCCCCCTGCAGGGAGAGAGTAATGCCAGCATGAAGGACACAGCAGGAGGAGATGGCATGTGTCTTCCTCCCTGCCTGTCTTCTTAGAGAGAAGAGGCTTCCACTCGACCCTTCACCAGCAGCCTCCCCTGCGCTGCTGCTCCATCCCTACACTCACACACTCAGCTGGCACACACTCACAAAACCAGTATACCACACAGCCTCTGCAGTATGGAATCAACCTATCCAGACTCTACTTTACAAAACGTTGACATATAATCCCATTCATACTAGAAATTGTGGCAACTCAGAATGTCTCAATTTATAGTGCATTATCAGTATCATATATTTTTAACCACTGTATAACAGTGTATTTTATATACATTGTTTGAACAGTTCGAATGTCATTTATTTGGTGTAACTGAGCTAATGTTAAAAATGCACTATGTAAGTTTTTGTTAAAATTGAAAGGAGTAGCATTACTAAGACATGCTAAAATATGGTGTGTGCATGTGTGTGTGCATGTGTGTGTGTGTGTGTGTGTGTGTGTGTCACGCTGTAAAGCCTAAAACAATCATTTAAAAGTCAGAGGCATGCTATCAGATCTTGCAGAAAGTTTTCTGACCAAGGGTCTTTATGTCTTAATGTCACACACACAGGCTCAAAAGAAGGTCCGGCACGATGTTTACGTCTCAAATGCAAAATCAGCATTATAGTGATGAAGAGATGATGACAATAGTAGAATATTACATTCTCAGAAAATATATCATTCACCAAGTTTTGACTGAGTTCTCTTTGAAAACTTGTTAAACACACTTACATTCACCAGATTCATCTGCTCGGGGAAGGGGACCGAAGCACAACCAACGTTACAAAATGTTCTTCCACGTTACATGCAATTACACATGTCCACCAGAGAGGTCTCCAAATCCTGAACAGTGCAGCTTTAAACAACTGCTTTTTTTGTCATATGCTGAATATTTAGAGAGTTATTTATTTCAAATGACATTTATTTTGTATGTCTGTGAGTGGTCATACTGTAAGGGCAGACTGAATGCAGTGTAGTTGTGCTAATGTTAGCACTGTGGCAAATTTGTTGTCAGTTCTAATCTGTACAGCTTCATTTAGCTACAATGCCACAGTCGTTAACTTAGCAGTTTAAACTGGAAACTCAATGTTGTGTAGCAAACCTAACATTCATTAAGCTGGGTCAAACTTTTACCACAGTTCTGAGAAGCTGTAATAAGCTCTAAAGTCCAGCCTTAAAAAAGTCACTATGAATAGGTGCAGTTCTGGGCAGAGCATGGGTAGGTCAATATTGTTTGATTTGTTAAAAGCAGATGCAGGCATATGCTTTTTTTCTTTTGTTATCTTCAGGTTTTATAGTACTGTTCACTCAACATTGAGCAGTAGAACATGCATATAAAAATGACTATTGATATTGAATGATATGGAAGAATATACAGTGATATGATTTTTGTCATCACTTAGCCCTACATAACTGTCCTCCAGCTATACTCTATAATTGATTTTTTAAGCTCAAAATGTAATTAGCAAGCTGAAATCATTTCATTCCAGGTCGGAGTACTAGTTCCACGTCCTACTAGGTCATTTTAGCTGAAGGCACCCAAGTTGAAATGTATGTCGACCTGCCTGACAAACCAGAATTAGCTCAAAATTCAAAATTCAGAGAAAACAAGCAATAAGAACAAAGAAAGCCTGATTCTCTCCCTTCTTATCTCACCGCTGGAGGGGCTCTTTCTCCTCACCTGCTAGGCCTTCATAATGCCTCTTAGTCAGGGGCCACTTTGTCCCAGCCAAGAGTGGGGCTCTCTCCTCCCCACCCAGTCAGAGGTTCTCCACTGCAGGTAGCACTCACCAAATGCAGATACAACTAGAGTACTAGCCCAGGGGACAAAAAAATTTGGAACTTACATAATTTGCGCCTAATTGCAAATGTAGTTGATAATCCAAGATGTTTGTTGTCCAACAATATTTATGTAACTTCTTTATTTCATCAAGTATTATTTTAGAAGATTTGTACTTTACAGAACTATTGAATGCTCATATTTTCCAAGAGGAAAAACATTTTAATCCTTATATTTTCATTTAGAGCTTTAAAGTTTAAAGTCCATTCTCCGGCAAAACAGACATCATTTGCTAGCAGGTTATTTTCATATGACTGATTGGAAATGACCAATAATTCTGAGCAAAGCAGTGGTCATGGCTGTCATGACTATTTTAAAATTAAACATTTAAATTTAATGTTCATGTTTTGCTTTTGTATACTTGAGGTTATTTAAACATAAAAACGCTCCAATAGTGGCAGCAGACGTTGGTGCACTACACCTGGACCACAAGAGATACTGAGGAGTTGGGAGAAAAAATTATTTGCTTTTAGACCTTTTCAAATACACACAATGTTCCAGAATGGAACACTGTATGGGATTTTTGCATCTAAGCAAACGCATATTAGTGTATTCAGGCCTTAAATATATTTGGTGTGTGTACATCTTTCAGCCACTTGGGGGAGCCAAGAAGTCATCTTTCACTGCTCTACAATCTTTAAGCTCATAGGAGGGAGCACAGCTGACCACCCCCTTACATTAAGTAGTACACTTCTAAGAAAAACTGCCCTCATAAGCAACGGTCTAATGAATATCTATGGAGTGAATGACAGGAGGCTGTGACTCATTTCCAGGCAACACTTGATCATTACGACTTTCCAGTGTTATTTTGTTCAGTGTACTTCATTTGAAGTGAGTCATAATCATTCATGACTCATTTTAACACAGAGAATGAAGCAAAAAGAGCACAGAATAAAAGCAAAAGGACAATGAAATAAACCACCACATAATATAAAATGTAACTTACTGGATCTTTATTAAATCATATAGCTAATAAAAACATTGATTTTAAGGCAGACTAGCAGCAAGCATTAGCTGCAAGATGGACAGTAAGAATAAATACAAGGCTGATTGTTTAATAAAAAAATAGAAAAATTATAAAGCCATAGAGAGAAAGAAACTCAACTAGTGCAGCTGTAGGTATGAAAAACAAGTGCTGAGATGAACATTATTGTAACAGATCTTCTATGGCTGTATTTTTTACTCTCACTGTCTACCTGCATGTAGCAATCTAACACGAACTCTAAACATGATTCCACACGTAGTCAGTTAGGTCTGTGTTTGTGTGTGTTCTGGGCGTATGGAGTGTGTGTAAGGGCGGGGGTCAAGATAAGGAGATGTTTGGTTGCCTCTCATAATTCATCTAAGTAAATGTAACTTATTAAATAAAGTATTTTTTAAAAGCATTTGTAATGTTTCCCCAAAGCAAGCCTAGTAACACATAATTCTTATTATTTAAGTTGACCCTTTTTCCTATAATGACCTCATCAAAACATTTAAACCTTAAATACAAAGTAGGATGACCAACATTAGACAGGTACAAACCATTCTGAATCACTGAGTGTTCCCCAAAGGGAACTGTGTGTAATTGTGGATGCAGAATCAACGTTCATCTCAAGAGCTCTGCTCTTTTAGTTTTTGATTTCCATGCACTGCATTTGCACAAGTAGGTCTCGCTGATTGGACCGCCTTAAAAATGACTTGAGAAAGTGTTCCCAACTGCGGTAATGCCATTCCGAATCCACAGAACAAAATAACGTTGAAGCTTGCAAGATTCAGAATGTTTATACCAAGCTAGGCCAACATGATCAAGACCACTACTACTCAACAAACACTAATCAGACATCCTCACAAAGAGGCTGAGCAAAGCTCATCCCCAGTAAATCTTTGACAGGCTGATCTGAAGAACATGTAATAGAACAAGTTTGTGTTTAAGGCCAACGCAGGCTGAGCCAGACACATTCTGGGAAAACATTCAGTTGGGTCAACAAAGCACGGACTATGCCGGCCAGCCAACAAAACCCTTTCCCTTGTGTTTGAACTTTCGCTTTAAGAGATGTCTTCATCAGCCCAAGATGGACATGTAACATGGAAGGAAAAGCAGAATCCTATTCTAGCTGTGTGCCTGAATCTAGTCTGGCCCAAAAAAGTGCTGAATTGTTTATGGTCTGCCCCCTAACCGAATGGCAACAAAAATCCAAAAAACTTTTTCTTTTTCTTCACCCTCTGGAGAGCCCAACCTCCAGAGGATGTACATTTCTGACAGATATGAGAATGCAACAGCGGATGTTCAGGAGAGCACTCGTTGACTGAAGGACCATGGACAGCGAACGGAGTGAGGATGCTATGAATGATCACCCTCATCTTTAGCGCTCTTAGCTGCACGCCTTGAAGTGAACCTTCTCTTTCTGTTCTACGACTGTGTGCTGGAGTGTGAAGGACAAATTTGGAAGAATAAACCTGGAGGAGTGAGAGACAGCCGAATAGCTTGTGTGTTGCAGACCTTAGAGAGTGGTGAAGGTCTCGGGATTCGGTGGTGTCAATATGGAAAGACAGAAAGAGGAGGGAGGGATAAGGAGTCAGGGGTAAGGCCCATATTCTGCTTTTCTCCCTCTAAGAGGAGCCCCCTCAGCTCAGCAGCTGAGGAGGAGAGGAGTGAGGGATGAAGGGGGGTGTAGGCCTGTTCTGGGCCTCAGTCAGTCTTCTTTGCCCAGGCCATGTCATCGCTGCGTGGCTTGTGGCCAGTAACTCTCTCTACCAGCCACTCCATCCTCCTCCAGAAGCCTATTCGGTCCAGAGGGTAGTTAAGCCAACCTGAGAGAGGGAGAGAAAAGGATAGAGAGGGCAAGAACATTAGCAGGACAGCACTCCAAGGATTAGTAACTGAGAAGAAAGGGTGAGCTGAAGAGCTTTCCAGAGAGAGAGCAGAAGAGGCAAAACATTTATATATATTAAAAAAAAAAAAATACTGAATGCACGTGGAAGGACATCCCCCTGACATGCTGAACAACAGTTCTTACTGGTAGAGCAGGTCCCAGGGGATAAACAGAAGAGAAGGCTATAGAGGCAGAGTAATGTACACACTTACTGAAAAACACACCCTACTACCTCACACGGTTGGAGTGGCAGTCCCACTGCAGTTTGACATAAAAGCCATTATTGCCAAACATACACACACCAGTATGTAAGACGAGTGTGTCTGATTCACATACATTTAGTAGACTCAGCTCGCTCTCGTTCAGACCCTCAGACATATCCCCCTTTCGATTTCTTACTGAACATGTCATCACCCTGGAGCCAACACTGTCAGTCACATATACATGTCTTCTCACACAATGTAAACATGATCATTCACTCACCTCTATAACACACCACAGCCACCTGAGCAACCCCCTATACTTCTACAGACCATCTGTATGAACACTGCTATGCCTTAGTTGTTGCAAGCTGTGTGTGTGTGTGTGTGTGTGTGGCCCCTGCAGTGACACTCTCAGTGCAAGAGGAGAGTAGTATAGCATGTCTTGTTGTTTGATTACTCCTCTTTGTCTCCCTCTCTCTATCTGTCTCTCTCCATGCAGGCCTGTTTGTTAGCACTGACAGCAGGTTAGCATTAAATATACATGGAGACTGTCAGCCAGTGGAGCACACAAAGACAGACCGGGGGCCCCAGGGACCCGACAGAGAGGGTGGAGGAGATCCCCCGGAGAGTGGGGGGGCAGTGAACAAGCGCAAGAGAGAAGAGAGAGGGAGAGTGAGCGAGAGGGAGACGGAGAGAGAGAATCCCTCCTTTCCCTTCAACATTCCCTCTCTCCACCAAACTAGAGAAGAGGACCAGCTCTTTTTCTCTCTCTCTCACACTCACACACACTCACACACACTCACACACACCACCCCCACACTCACATCTGTTGTCCACAGGGGCGCAGGGTGACGCACAAGCATCCCCACTATGCTCTCTCAAAGACACACATGCCGAATACTGAGTGTTGGAGCTATCACAAGGATTTAATGCCTTCACACAAACAAACACACACACACACACACACACACACACACACACACACACACACACACACACACACACACACACAGCTATTTTTATCCATGACGAACATCTAGCGGCTAAACTAGACAACTCAACTGAAAGAAAAGAAATATTTTCAAATTACAATAAATGGCACAGACAACAGAACACAATATTATTATGACACAAAACCTCCAGCTTCATATGAGGTGCTGTAACACTGCCAGTGCTACACTGGATCACCTTAGGCCAGCTCACCCTCACCTCTCCTCTACTGTAAACATTTACAGATGTTACTCAAATACACAGAAAAAACTACAGCTTAACACATCTGTGCAAAACACAACAGCTCTCCATACCAGGAGCTGCAGTAGTCTGACATCTATAAAACTGAAACATTTCAAGTAAAGGATATATCGTCTGAATGTCTTACAAACTTCAGATGTCCATTTCTGACTGAAACCCAGTGAGTGAAAGGAAAAGTAATCCAGGCACTGGGTGAGTAAATCAAGGCTAGTGAATGCTTGTACATTAATGTTTGTGAACGTCTGTGAAATAAAATGTGAATTTGAAGCATGTTTATAATCACAGCACAAAGTAAAAATCCATGAAATGAGTTCTGTTTCGTATTATTGGGTTTTATTACAGCACTTTTAGAGCTCTTGTGTGTCCATGTTTATCCCTATTAATATTAACAATTTTTCTTTAAGAACATTCAAATACTGTTCATTAAAATATTTGGACATACCAATGGCAAAAACAGATATATTTTCATCAAGTGGTATTACTAAAATCATGCTATTACACTGGTACTCAAAATTTAGACCACTCTCTGTGTGGTGTTTTGAGAGTGCCGTGTGCTCACTTTCGTTTTTTTTCCTTCATGCACAAATTCATAGGCCTCTCATGGCCGACCACCGACACTGATTCAACATGCTCATTTGGCCAAAACAGAGCTGACGAAAGCTGAATAGATCCAACAGTGTACAAACTACAGGCGACTGTCAGACACTGACGCTCAGAAAAAGCTGGATGACGTCCAGCGGCCAACAGCAGGTTTGGTGAGTAAATGCTCTAAAAGTGGCAGATTGTCTGTTGCAGATTATTTTCGTTCTACTGCAAAAATAACACGAAGCCATTGTGAAATCTGTTTTGATACACTGTAACAACGATAACTGCAATTCTAATGTCAAGTTATTAAAAATGTCAGTAGTCGTGGGTGTAAAAGCTATGTGTGTGTGTATGTATGTGTTTGTGTGTGTTTGTACCTGTAGTAATGCAGTAGTAGGTCTCGTGAGGGGACACATGGTGGATGCGGTGGTGTTTGCGGGGCAGCACTAGGTGGCAGTCCTGCAGCAGAGTGACCCAGCACGGCAGGCCGAAGTAGGAGTGAGACCACTTGTGGATCTGATTAGTCATGGTCACAAAAACCGCCAGTGCAAAGACGAAACACTCCCAGGGGTAGGACTCCGCAAGGGCATCTGAGAGAGAGAGAGAGAGAGAGAGAGAGAGAGAGAGAGAGAGAGAGAGAGAGAGAGAGAGAGAGAGAGATTACATGCAAATCAAAATAAATGTGTTCTATTTAATAGTCTATTTTCCCCTTAGTTGTGCTAGACTGATTTAAAACTGACCTTCACCTGGCGAACCCTGAGTTGAAGACTCACCTACAGAGCCTACACACCATCTGCTGAACCCACACAGCTTCAGCTCTACACACAGCTCGCTGTGCTGTTAAGGCCAGTTTGCACTTGTATGAGTTACAGGAATTTACTTCAGTTCTCAAGTGTGGAGGCAGCACCTTTACATTCTTGGTGTGGAATGATTCAAAACATTTTTAGGTCAAAATTGTTTCCATTTTAATTTTTTTATCTGCTTTCAAAATACTTTGACTTCCCAAAGAATAACCTTTATATCTTATATATTAAACCATGACATGTGCTTATCAAATTTAACTTTTTATATTTTCATTCAATCACATTTTTATTAACAGATATTCGGTTGATAAGTTAGACAAAACAAATTACAGAAGTCAGAACTTAACTGGATTTGCCATGAGGTCACTTGCCTGTTTATGTTCAAGGTCCTTGAGAACCTTGAGACTGAGGTCTTGGTATTAGCTAGAAAACAGCTGCTAAGTTAGCGTAGATGGTTATAGCCATACCTGACAGTTTACAGGGCTAAATAAAAGCAAAACGCCATTACACAATGGAGAAATTTTATTATGCAATCCAATGTTTTTTTTTTTTTCCCTTGTCATCATAAAAATCATTAACGATGTAGGGCAATGCAAGCTCGTAAAAATCAAGATAATACAGTCTGCCACTACCCAAAAGAGAACTAATAAAGTAGACAAACTGCATGCACGCAAACAAGCTTTGAGCAGCTGCCCTTGATGTTTTCAGACCTTAGCAACGGCCCTGTGTTTGAGGAAGTGAAATAAATTGAGGTCCCGTCTTCTTTCAAAGGTTAAAATTTTGATTCGTCATTTCAATAAAAAATACTGCGCCCTTAATCGTCTGTACAGTATAAAAGGTGAAAGGTGACTGACAGAATAACGTATGATGCTTTTTTCCAAACATAACATTCACACGCACTGCAATAAAAGTCACAGCGAAACTGCTCACTGACTGCTTCCCAGCAACTGTGGAAGTCGTGTGTGTGTGTGTGTGTGTTTGTACCTGGTGTGTAGGACAGGAACTTGTAGGCCATGTGGGCGAGAGGCAGGATGGTGATCATGCAGTTGTCTCCATTGGTCTCAATGAAGTCGTGCCGTGTGATGGCCGTCGGGTCAATGTGGTGCTCCCGGAAAGGACGGATAAATGCCTACATGGACAGAAACATACAGAAGGGTAAAAAAGAGCAAAAGAGGAAGACAGACAGGAGAAGAAGGGCATCTGTAATTTGGTATGTTGCTACACACGAAACATGACATGCTCCTTGTTAATGAATGGCTAAACCATCTGCTGATCACACAGACAGCCCTGTAAAACTCTAACAGACCTGCTTCCTTGTGGGAGTCAGTCTTTTACACCTATCACACTAAAGCAGAGGGCTTTGATGGAATTCTACCTCAAGATCGAGTTCGAGTTGATGAGCAGTGAAAAATAGGGGGGGGCGGGGAATTTAAGCCTTAACAAACAACTCCGAGTCGTGTGTTTACTGTCTCCTCCTGAAAGTCGGGGGTGGGTGTGGGTTCAGGGTTGATGTTTGACTGATAGAGTTAAACTGGTGCGCCGGCGTTAGCGGAGCCTAATGAAAGCGAGGGGGAGAAAGCGCCGCGGCCGCGTGAGCTACAAGTTATGGAGCGGCGAGATAACCCGGCATAAAACAGCACTTCCCCGCCGCTCAGATCCCGCATCATGAAAAAGCTGAACCCAGCGGCTCCTGTCACTCACGCCCGGGAGCGCTGCTTTGAGACGGGCGCCCCGCCTGCGAGCGCGCGGGTGTCGCAAAATGAAAGGGAGCGCGGGAAAGAATCGCATAAGCACAAAGAGAAAAGAGGGGAGAGAGAGAGAGAGAGAGAGAGAGAGAGAGAGAGAGAGAATAAAATAAAAACCCACAAGAATGAAGGTAATTTATTTCCCACACAAAAAAGCAGGAGTCGTTTGGAGCCGCATTACCATAGCGGTTTCGGAGGGGAGGCGCGAGGGGGGAAAATGTCATTATCGCGTGTTTGTGGGCCGAACTCAATCACACCTATATCTGAGGGCGCGTGGAGGCACTCTGCTGGAGCGCGGGAAACTATCTGCTGATATTTCGACAATTATCTTCCCTCCCGTTCCGCTCGCCTCCCCCTCCCTCCCTCTCCCGGCCCCGCGCGCGCGAGATTAAAAGAGCGCTAAGCTGCGGACGGCCCGCCGCGCGCGTGTGTAGGACTCTCCGGCCACCTGGTGGCTCTCCGCCGCTAATCCCGCACCGTTTAACGCCCTGCCTCGCGCCTCGCCTCGCCAACGCCTCGCGCCTAATCACGACTCCACCATCTCCGGATTGCCGTGGCAACCAGGCGGCTGACGGGCGCGCGGCCTCCCCCGCCCTTAACCTGATCCCTTTCACTCCTCTCTCTCTCTCTGTGTCAGCTCTCTAGCTCTCTTTTTCTTTCTCTCTCTCTCTCTCTGTCTTTCTTTCTTTCTATCTGTGTCTCTCTCTCACTGTCGGTCTCACCCTCTTTTTTTTCTCTCGCTGTTGGTCTCTCTCGCTCTCTTTTTCTTTCTTTCTCTCTGTCTGTCTCCCTTTGTCGGTGTCTCTTTCTCTTTCTCTGTCTCTCTCGCCGTCAGTCTCTCTCCCTCTCTTTTTCTTTCTTTCTCTCAGTCTCTCTCGCTCTCTTTCTTTTTCTCTCTTTGTCGGTCTCTCTTGCTCTTTTTCTTTCTTTATCTGTCTCTTCGTGAGTCTCTTTCTCTCTATGCCCATCTGTCTCTCTCCCCCGTCTCAGTCTCTCTCCCTCTTTCTCTCCGTCTCTCTCAGTTTCTCTCCGTCTCTGTCGCTCTCTTTTTCTTTCTTTCTCTCTCTGTTGCTCGGTCTCTCTCCCTCTCTCTCTGTCTGTCGCTCGGTTCCTCTCCCTCTCTTTCATTCTCTCTGTCCGTCTTTCTGTCTGCGCTCTTGGCCTGCCTCTCTCTCTCTCTCTCTCCCCCCAGCGCTCCTCACTCTTAAGTGCCCATTTAATCACGCTCATTAGCGACTCTCCCTCAAGTTGCCGCTCTTTTTTCCATATTTGACGCGCGGACAGAAAGCCGTATATAGGCGGTCGCTAAGTGCTGTCTTTAATCTGCCGGTTAAAGGGGCTTAGAGCGCTGCGTTCTGAAGGGGCCGTAAATTCCCTCGCTCTTTTTGAAGTCCGATCACTCCCAGGTGGCGGATCCTAATTATCCTCGACAGCAGAAGGATCGGCGGTGGCTGTGGAGCCGAGAAGAAGTCTTCCTCCTCCTCCTCCTCCTCTCTCACCCCTCCTAGCCGTGAGCTGAGCCGTTTAACGCCGCAGACAGACGCTGATGAAAGAGCGGAGAGCGGCCCCCTCAGCCCGGGCCACAAGGGTGCTGGACGGTCTGTTCACACTGCCCGCTCTCTCCAGGGCCCGCAGACGGCTCGTCCGCACACTCCGAGTGGCAGGACAACAGTGAGCCTTGGCCATAGCGCGACACTCAACACAGACTCCTCTTTATCCTCCACTCAAACCGGTCACACTCCTGGTCTCCTGGTCATCTTCATGTACACTCTTAAAAATAAGGGACCATAAAGGATTCTTTGGAGTGACGCCTTTGAAGAACAACTCTGGGTTCCCGAAAGAACCTTCCACTGGATGCTTCTATGAAAAGCTCAACTAAAGAAATTTGACTGAAAGCCTCTTTAGGACACCAAAAGCAGAATACACACAGACTGCTATAGCCAGACACGCATCCTGTAACCAGCTGCACCAGCTGAATCAAGTTCAATCGCAAGTTAGGGCAGTCTAAGTGCAATTAAGTTGCACCACGAAAACATTAAAATATCCAGGCTGGTAGATTTCTGTTCCTAGAGATCTACCAGCCTGGAGAGTTACGACTCGACACTGCCTATGATATTCAGATGACCCTGCGAGACTTTATCATTTGGGTCAGGTGTGGTAAACAGGGGTTGGAGCTAAACTCTGCAAGGTGGCAGATCCCCAGGACCAGCATCAGGCACCCCTGACCTAAAACAATGGTCACCAACTCTCCTCCTGGGGAGCTACTTTTCTGCAGAGGTTTGTTCCAACCTGCATCCAACATGCTGCCCTGTCCTTACTTAACACTGATGCATCTGATCCAGCCAATCAAGGACTTCTGAAGAAGTTAATTAGCTGGAGTAGGCACTGCAGTTTGTGGTTGGAACTAGACTTTGCAGGAAGTGTTGCACAGAATGATGCTTTCACCATCTGCAGCAATCAGTAACGCAATCCGCCAAACAGAAAATACTACAGCCATGATCTTATTACAGTAAGGTGACTAATGTTCTCTTTAAGTGATGTATTTTTATTTCAGGTAAAGAATATCTGTCAAATTAATCAATCAATGATGGGCATTTTAAGTACTTTTATAGTCAAGTAGCACAACAGAGTTTGAAAAAAAAGAAAAAAAAGTGAGACGTATATTTATTTATTCACAGCACCAGTATAATAACAGAAACAGCGCTGGGCTACTTGTATGGAAAATTAGGTGGCTGTTTAAAAGAAAAAAAAATACTATTTAGCCACTGTTTAACTTCAATACTACTCACTAGCACCAAACAGATTCCTGCTCTGTATGTTCTGACAACAAGCCTTTTGGTGCAAGACAAAGCTGTTGGACTGAAAAAACTTTTTTGAAGTTTCACGAGATGCTGCCTTTAAAATGTATGCAAGAGTTTTGTTTGAACCCGCGAGACACTTTTTTTTGTAGGTCTGTTTTGCTCTAGCACCGTTTTGACACATGCATGTCTCTGTATATCATGCAAAAACAACAGTCTGTAGTTCGCTTTGCATGACAGTCAAAATCCCCTTCCTGTAAAAGTAGCCGTTTCTTTGCCATGCTAAACAATGAAGGAGATTCACAGGGCTTGCTTGCAAGGCTAAACAAACTAGATAGACAAAGTGGTGTATTCCTCTCTGTTATATATCCTTAATGTGTGCTGCTTGTTTCGTTCTGGTTTGGAAGAAATTTAATGACAAATTAGCAACGCACAAATAGTGACTGGTAATTTTACACCTCAAATCAAAACAACCTTTTTTATGGCAGACTTTGCACCTACTAATGCATAGGTATAAATTTTAAGTTATGACTTGAGGCTATGTTGAAACTATATTACTTGGTGCAGACATTTAAATTTTACTTGCTCGTAAATTCACAGTTCACATTCAAACTAGGCTACGATTGGACTTGCATTCAGCTGATGCAACTGGCTACAGATCGTCCTCTGCCCTGCTTTACCCCACTGAGCAATAGCAAAGCTGGGTGAATTCCTGAGCGAATACTCTGATCAAGATTGGGAATGGGATGTCTAAGCTGTTCTACAGGGGTTTACCAACACCTTAACTACCCTCCCTAGCAACACAACGACCCTGTCAACGAAAACACAAAAACACCCTTAAATTCATCACTCCTACCTGTCCAGCACAAAAAGAAAGGGCCAGCTGCTTTTTAATTGGACAGGCAGAGGGTGACCTTTTCAGCGATTGGGCGAGGAGAGGGCGACTACGGTCTGCATTAATTTGGGCCTCCTGGGTATTCCTGCCCCCTGTGAGGTAAAGCAAGGGGGGGGGTAGTGTATGACTCAGAGCTCCAGGAAACCAGCACTGGGGAACCCCCAGAGAGGATGTGGCATTTTCCTTCATCCGGCCATGAGCTTGGTAAACCACAACAGACCAATAAAGCAAAGGCTGATATGAAAATTAAACAGGGGTCATTTGTTAAAATCAAACACACTAATATGCTAAGAGGTCACAGTGTGTGTGGGAGAGTGTGAGAACATGGTGCATTAATACTGATCCATAAGATCTGCCTGCATTAGTAATATGGATTTTGGGAGGTGCCATTATGTTAAAATATGTGAAAATATGTGAGAATATGTGAGAATGTGTGAGTGCACATGAGAAAACAGGTGCAACCAACCACAGCTCTGAATGTGATCCATCCTGACCTCTAATTTATTAACATTACTTCCTAAAAGATATAGGCTAGTATGCCTACTTGTCTGAATAATAAAAGGTAAAGGAGAAATGATTTTTCATGTAACATGTCTACTATATACATGGAATAGTGTCTTATAGGTTAGTTCATTGTCCATTCATTTACTAATAACTGTATCAAATACACGCATTTCTTCTTTAAAAAAGTCACTTTTAGACCCAAAGCTTGAAATGTCTAGATCGTTTCACTAAAAGAAAAATTTGTCACTGAGAATAAGGTTTCGATTGCCCTCAAAATCATTACATCAGAGTACTTCTGACAAATAAATACTTTAACCATCCAATCACTCAGTTAAAGTACTTCAGCTACTGTGAAAAACAGGTGCAATTTTGCCTGCTGCATGAGTGTAAAATATATGAGAAGAAATGTCACACAGCTGAAAACTACCACTTATCCAGTTAAAACTGGCTGCACATTTAGGCATTAAGGTAACATGTAGAAATAACTACATGACTTGACATACACCCTGAAGAACAGTGATTTAAATGACTTCCTCCATTTCTCAATGTCGTCTTTGCAAGTTTTAACTGGGGAAATTTAACTCAAACTGGCAGTCTGCCAGACTATAATGAACATTCATATCAAAAGAATAAATGTGCTAGTCCTCATGCTGAATAAAAGAGGCCTAGACATTTTCCCAAAAGTTTCCCAAAGCCCTCAACCTTTGAATACTGGACTGTTAGTCTCAAGTGTAAAAGCAGTTAAATGTACTGAAAGTCAAAACAAAAATAACTGAGCAGATAAATGAGTTTTTAAAGAAGTCTCTGTCCTTTTAGGTGAGACATGAACAGAGGGACTCTGTGTTCATTACATGACTGTTGAAGTCCTTAGCTACTTTTCTTTGCAGATGGTTACGATGGTAAACCCAGTTTCCCTCTACTTCTCTTCTTGTTCTTTGTGGTCAGCGACTTACTCAGAAGTCTTGACTTCTCTTATCTGCGTTGTATGAAACAGTCTTGGTCAGCTATCAGCTGTAGTGGCAATGTGCTAGACTGTTAATAACTAATAGGGCAGTAATACGTATCAAACCTCCCACAACTGAATAAACAGAAATGAAGCTAAGGTTGAGTACTGAAGACTTTCCATTGAAGAATTTATCTGGCTCAGTGGTCAGTTTCAGCAGTGATATAGTCTCATCTTCTACAGCCTCAGACAGGCATCAGTAAACTGATCTGAGATCAGCCCTTGGCCTGTCATTCACTCACCTTCCCAATGACAGGGATGTCCACAGAGCCCCAGGTATCAGCTCCCCAATGAACCATTCCAGAGGCAAAATCTGCCGTCACTATACCAGCCACTGAGAGAGAGGGAGAGAGGAGAGGGGAGAAAAAAAATAAATAAATAATAGTAATAATAATAATAATACTACATACACACTATATACATATACACATATACATATATATATATATATATATATATATATATATATATATATATATGTGTGTGTGTGTGTGTGTGTGTGTGTGAGAAAGAAAGAGAGAGAGAGAGAGAGAGAGAGAGAGAGAGAGAGAGAGAGAGAGAGAGAGAGAGAGAGAGAGAGAGAGTGAGTGAGTGAGTGAGTGAGAGTGAGAAAATGAATCCTCCAGTAAACAAGATTGGGTTATTGTATGTTCCTGTTACAGTTAAACTGATGTTGAAACTCAATTACAATATAATCTGATTACAGAAAAACAAATTCAAACACTTAATAATCCCATCATAATCAGATTTTTGTAGTTACCAGATTATTCAAATTGTCATGTGAACATCATCTAAGGTCTAGAAATCTGATTAAGAGAGCTGGATTTTAGCTCTCTTAGATTTCTCAGCGTTTAACAGCGTTTAACACAGTGCCGCAAGACGGCAGCAAAACATTTTTGGAGCGCTGCTGAAACCAACTACATACTTTGCAAAATGAAGGATTAAATATTCAATACTCATGTAGAGCCAAAGTTTACCATTATATGATAGCTCAAGTTCATGTAAACACGTTGACTGGATTACTGACAAAATCATTTTCTGCAGTTGTCGAATTATTAAGTGCATATAAACGCACTCATCGTTGCAGACAACAGCATAATCATTACAACATTTCAGATCAGTTTAGGCCAAAGCTTTTAGCAGAACACTAACATTAAATTCATCTCTTGCAAAAGCAAGACAGAAAGATAGATAGAATGACAGGATGTAAGAAGGGCTGTGATGATAACCACATTACTCCAATACCACAGTCATGTGATTGAGTTCATTAATGTCATTACAGCAATTTTTTTTCTCCTTTTTTTGCTGATGAGAGTGCATATGGTGTGTCACATGAAGTATTAACACAATAATCATTGTTTAAATATCAACGTTTTCCATCCTGTTCAAAGGATTCTGGAGAAACAAAACTTTTCAGTTGCTGGTCACTTCAGCTTCATGTACAAGGAGGACAAACAGTCCACTAGATGTATGGGGGATTTCTTCTGTGTGTGTCTGATTATTATTAATTATTTCTAGGCTTGAGTACTTCTGATATCTAGAGATAACTTTCAGATGAATATGTACAAACACAATACAGACATAAACGACAGAGGCATAATGTAAACAGTTGCAAGTGCTTATAGTGAACACACATCTCTCATGTCTCATTACCATTACAACTGACGCTAACCGGTTGACATTATTTGATTCTACAATGGCCATGTCTAGCCCTAAGCCAAATGGTATGTCGCTAATTTGGGCACATCTTGGCATTGAGCCAAATGATAAAAGGCAGATTGTAAATTTGGACAAGGCAATATGCCGCATTTGTAGGAAAAAATTATCTGTCTCACAAGGAAATGCATCTAATCTAAGACCACATCTTAGAATTAACCATCCTACGGCGTGTGCCGGACTTGGCAGCAGCGCACCTGCCTCAGGAGGAGGTACAACCTCAGGCCAGCAGTGACAGTTGGGAGTTTTCGAGGCCTTTGTGAGAGGAGCGAAGTACCAACATGACAGCGCCACAGAACAGGTTCGATGTGGGATTTCTGTCACTCACTCGACTTTTGCTCCGTCAGGCCTTAGTTTCTATATCTATCAAAATTGTATTATTTTATTTACTGGTGGGATATAATGCTTTTTCAGCCCAGTAAGAAAAAAATCTGTACCATCACAGCCCTAGACATAAGAAAATCATGAATTAGTTTAGGCATTTCATAAAGTCTAGTTATTAAGAGGTTTGGCTTTGCTTGAATTGTAAACTCAAAGCCAGTGATGTTACAATACTGAGACAAATATATATCATTTGATCTAATGTAAAGTGTACATCCTTCAAAATATGCCATGTAACTTTATTTCAGCATCTTAATCGTTTCCCACTGCCACAAAAAATTCAGATTAAATCCATGAACATCAACTTACCAATGCCAAAGATGATTCTGTAGATGTGCACTGTGGAGAAGTTGATGAGGAGTAAGGAGAAGTTGATAGCAAAGAGCGAGAGGCACAAGATTACACAGATCCACTCCTGCAGCCGCTTCCCTGCAAAAACACATTCCCACATTCCTTATAAGCACCAATATAACCCGCATCATAGCCAAAAGGTCCAATAATTAAAGAAGTATTGCTGAAAAAAAAGTAAAGATAAAAATGATTTTATAGTACAGTAGTTTTATAAGAAAATTACCCTTCCACCCTTCATTTCTTTAATTTTCAGTCAAAACATCCATTAAGAACAAGTTCTTAATTTTTCGTGTGATATTTTTGAGGAGATTAGATATAAGGAGGGAGAAAATCAAAGCCTTCAAAAATTATTGGCGTTAAAAACATTAAACAAAAAAGAAAACAGGATTCCTGACAACCGCGTAAGACCTGACAGACCACCTAAACTGTCACCATTAGAGCTTCTGTCTTTAAGAGATGAGAGAATCAAGCTCCACTTCTGCTTCACATCTGAAAAATTCATCCTTCCACTGTGAGAAGACAACGCAACGCTATGGGGCTGAAAGGATATGTAGCTGTCAAGAAGCCTCTACTGAGATAAGAAAATTGACAAAAATGAAGAAAATTTACTAAATCAGAATAATGGACAGGCCACCCCAGACCTCATTATGTGTATAGGATTACTTGGATTGTGTGAAGCAGAAACCAACCAATTTCTAAGACTGAATTTTGCAGGTGTGGAAAAATATCCCTGCAGATTTCTTTGAAAAAACATGAAAGCAAGTCTCCTGAAAAGAATGGAAGTATATGAAAATACTGAAATCCATTAAAATGTACCTCCTCAATGAATGGACAGTGATTAGTTTGCAATTTACAAGATAATAATACATATTATATTCAAACAGAGCCTGATAGACACACTCATTCATTGCATATTTTTTTGCCATAGTGTTTCATCCAGAGAGGTCTACATACCTTTATTTTTAATTGTCTCCAAAAATAGATTTACACAATGAAGTTAAAACAATTGCATGTATAAAAACAGATAATCAGTTGGGCATCTCATTAGTAATGGAATGATCCTGTGGTCACTCAGCAGTAGTAGAGTTCAGAGATAGCAGCAGACAACATCACTCAGAACTCTGAAAGGTCTTCAGGGTCAGCGGACAAGAGACGAGTGTGCGCGCATGTGTCCCATTATGGTGAGTGCCCGGGAGTAATCGGCCGGATGAAGACAAGTTGTAGAGTGAGGCTGGGGTCGTGATCTCCGCTGATGCTAGTATGGGCCTGACACAGCTAAAAACACACAGGTCAGCTGTGAGGGCACGAGAGGGGGGCCGGGGCAGGGCTGGCCCAGACCACCACGATCGCCGTCTGACCCAATGGCCGGAGTGAGAGAGAGAACGAGAGAGGGAATGATTAAAGCACTACTGCATTATTCACTCCAGGCAGCCCTGGACACCAGACATCAATCCTATCTCCATCTCCCCATCTCTTCATCTCTCTCCCTTCATCCCTCGCTCCATCTCCATTTTCGTTCGTTTGCATATTCGGTCGTTAACTGCAGGAAACTATTTCGGTTCCTTCTGCTCTTTTTTGCTTGCTCCGTCCTTCCCTTCTCCTTCTCTTCCTCTCTCTGGTTGTGCAGGCGTGGTGCCTGGAGTGGCACAGTGGAGTCAGCTCTTCTGAAAATTTAATGCCATTAGAGGATCTGCCTTGAGAAGACGGAGAAGCTTGAGGAGGTTGAGAGGAGGATATTGATGACAGCTATTTATAGCATCTCAGTGGGCCAACTTATGGCAAGCGTCTGAACAATAGACCATGCTAGAGCTATAACACACACACACACACACACACACACACACACACACACACACGCACATACACACACACACACACACACACACAGAAACTTGTCAACATGCACACACATCATCTATGATCACCTTACACACCAGCAGATCAAATGGATATTCCATATCTTTATTAGGATATCCCATGACCTGGTCCTGCAGCATGACTGCTCTACACGTTGCACGCCAAGCTGTTAGCCTTGAAACACCTGTTTCAGCAGAACACAGGGCCACCTGACACCTGAGCCTACACTTCCCTCAGCTGATCTTCACAGAGCTGATGGTGGAAAGCTGAAGTGAAAAGCTCCAGTCAAGTGTGAGCTGCTAAGGCAGATCAAAGTTGACCCCACAGCATGTTCTCTTTAGCATTAGTATAAATCATTGTTAATGTTTTACCCTGTACAAACACACACACACACACACACACACACACACACACACACACACACACACAGCACTTTCTTAGGAATACCTGTACACCTACACATTCATGCCATTATCTAATCAGCTAATCGTGTGGCAGCAGCGCAGTGCATAAAATCACAGAGATATGAGGCAGCAGCTTCAGGTAATGTTCACATCAACCATCAGAATGGGGTAAAAATGTAATCAGTGATTTTGACTGTGGCATGATTGTTGGTGCCTGACAGGCTGGTTTGAGTATTCTGTAACTACTGATCTGCAAGGATTTTCACACACACACACATAACAGTTTCTAGAGTTTACTCAGAATTGTGCAATAAAGAAAAACATCCAGTGAGGGGCAGTTATGCGGATGGAAACACCTTGTTGATGAGAGAGGTCAACAGAGAATGGCCAGACTGGTTTGAGCTGACAGAAAGGCTACCGTAACTCAGATAATCATTCTGTACAACTGTGGTGAGCAGAAAAGCACCTCAGCACATTGAACATTGAGGTGGATGGGCTACAACAGCAGAAGACCACATCAGGTTCCACTTCTGTCAACAAAGAACAGAAAGCTGAGGCTGTAGTGAGCACAGGCTCACCAAAACTGGACAATTGGCTGGAAAAATATAGCCTGGTCTGATGAATCTCTATTTCTGCTGAGGCATGCAGATGTTAGCAAATAGCATGACTCCAAACAGCATGACCCAGCCTGCCTTCTGAATTATATTGGCATTTTTTATACAATCCAGGTCATTTTCATGGGGGGGCCATATTTTGTTTTTTGTTTTTTTTTTGCACTGGGGACCATAAGACAGTTGTTATGCCATAGGTGTGAGGAAGAAACAGTGCCAAGTTGCGCTCCACTTCAGGGTACATGGCTAAGTTTCCAAAAAGAGGTGCTGTTACCATTACTAGGTTTTGTTACTACATTACAGTGAGGGCAATCCCAACAGTATGACCAATACTAAGGGAGTTTTAGGCAAGGCAAAATTCAGAAAGCAATTCACTTTGGAATTACTACTCAGCAGACTTGGGAAAACAAAGGACAGATTTGTTTTACACAGATCTTGTCAGTAATCACTTATAATACGTCCTCATGTAAAACTAATCCAACACGAACAGGGTTCCTGACACCTTTTTCAGCACTCGCAGATTTAGAGACAGAAAACTAAAAACGAACAGCCATTTACTCGCTCTCACGTTCACCACCTATCTCCAACACACACACACGCACGCACAAACAAACACATGAGCCTGCGCAGCAGTGGGGCTGCTGTCAGGTGATCAGCGTCAGTGGTTGGATCCTCATGCTCCCCGGCGAGGGCAGAAACTAGGCCAGGCCTCAGCAGAGCCGCTGCCGCCGCAGCACCGTCCCCCTGTCCGCGGGACCTGAGCCGCGCGCTCATTAATACAGTCCTGACAACAGCGCGCTCCCCAGCAGCCCCCCGCGCCAATCGCTCACACCCTCGCCCCCTTCCCTGCTCGCTGGCGTGGGGAATTAACCTGGGAGGGGCGGCGGGGGGTGGGAGGAGGATGGAGGATGTGGGGGGGGTTGCTAATAGGCTGAAATTAATCAACGACGCCTGATTCGACGCAGAGGGGCGGCTGGAGTGCCAAACAACGCCCCGTGAATGCTAATGGCGCTCCTGCTTTCCTTCCCTCGCTCTCACTCGTTTAACTTCTGTAGGCACCTATAGCAGACCCAAATGCGGCCTCCTCCATCACCCGGCTGCGCCGCATTTTCAGCGCATGTGCATTATCGTGGCTCCGTACAAGAAAAATCTCTCTCTCTCTCTTTTGAGGGCACAGGTGAAAATGCAGACACTAGTACCCCATCAATTTGGTAAAACTAATGCATTTTTCAGAAATTTGCACATTATCGCTGCTGTGAGAAAACGTTGTATCTCTGAAATGGAAAAGGGATACATACACTGATCATACACTGTAATGGACAGGTGGCAATGGTGGTTATAAAGATTTTGAAAGTTTTCTTAGCACAGCCACAGGGCATATTCTATGTATCAGTGAGCATAATCAATACGCGAGTATAAGAACATTCCACAAGTAATGTATCCTGACACTCTGGCAATGTAATTACAGTGTCTTCTTCTGAATTGTACGATGCAGTGCATTATACTGTACTTTGATCTAAAACTTGGTCCAGTAACCTTCTGGAGCACAAGTGAGTATGCTGAAACTCTGTCAATGCCCTTGAACCCTACCAATCACAAAGAATTGGACTTAAATGGGAATCCCGCTGAGTTTTCATTGAGCTGTAAAAAAGGTAATTCAGAGTGGTTTGATGTGAAATGCTCCATTCACAGCTTTGATGAGAGAAACCAGGCATCTGACCTGTTTAGTGCTTCTAAAACTAGTCCTACACAAAATGGTCATGAATATACTGCCTAATGTCTGAGACATTGTTTTATGATTGTTTTGAGAAGGTTTTGGCCTAAAATGTTTTTATATTATGTTTTTATCCATTCATAGCAGAGGAGGTGTACATGTAGGATGTTGTAAGACAGAACAGTACCCAAAGAAACTTTTTTCCTCACTAATATTTCACCACTATATCATTATCATCATTACACATAAAAACTTGTTTTTAGACACTTGTCAGTTCGCTGGACAACAAATAAAATGGCTATATCTGCATGTGAGACACAGTGACCCCTGGTTCCCATCCCCACCATTATTAAAAAAAAACATTGACAGTTTCTCTACAATGCACCATTTCACACCAAACCACTCAATGATATTGTTTACAGAAAAATCAGTCAAATTTCCCTTTAAATACTTGCTTGTGCATTTTGCTAAACTTTTCTTTTATGCACCATC